CCCTTGTTGGATGAAGGCATTTTCTAAAAAGCCAAGCACGAAAGAGTTTTCAGACAAACAGGGATAGCAAGCAATTGTCAGAAACAGCACCAAGATGAGTATTTTCAGCTTTGGTCCATCTACTTTCTCTTTCTTGCATTACAGGAATGTTGAAGGAAGAAAGAAGTCAAATTCTGGAACAGTAAGTGTATATATATATTTTATTACTTTGGACATCCACTTGGAAAACCTCAATATTCTCCTGACTTTCATACCTACTAAATCTATAAGTCTTCAGATAGATTGTGTTTTTCTTTTTCACGGTTGAAGGGTTGGATGCATAGAGTTGACAGATTTAGCAAATAAAAAATCAGATTCCCTGTTTAGATTTGAATCTTGGGTAAATGAATACTTTTATAAATATAAATATGTGCCATATATTTAGGACATACTTATACTAAAAAAAAAATATTGCTTATCTGAAATTCAAATTTAAGTAGGTGGCCTATATTTTATTTGGCAACTCTATTAGAGTAGTTTCAGAGGGAAATATTACACTATAATTTCTGGTCCCCTTCAGTTTTATTGACATGTAATTGACAAATAACACGGCACAAGTTTAAGGTAGATAATGTGATGATTGGAAAGATATGCATATTGTGAAACTTTATCACAGTAAAGTTAGTTAATACATCCTTTACCTCATGTGATTACTATTTTGTTATTGTTGTTGTTATGGTGAGAACATTAAACTCTACTCTCACAGCCACTTCAGGTATATAGTACTTGTTACCTACAGTCACCATGTTGTACCTTAAATGCCTGGAACTTACTCATAACTGAAAGTCGGAACCTCTGGACCAGCATCACCCCATTTCTCCCACCACTCAGCCCCTGGCAACCACCATTTTATTCCCTTTTTTTATGAGTTCAACCCTTCTAGTGTCCACATATATTGAAATCATATTAGTCTTTCGCTACTTGACTTAATTCATTTAGCATGATGCCTCAAGTTTCCTCCATACTGTTGCAAATGATAGGAATTCCTTCTTCTGTGTAATTTCTTAATTTACAAGTGAAAACACTCTAGTTAATGCAGCAAGTAATACGTTACCCTTAATATCTTTCTACAGTTCAGATGTGTTTCGTTCCGAGAAAAAGTAACACTGTCCAAGGAAACAACTGCTGCTTGAAAAAAAAAAAACAAAAAAAAACAGTGGCAGGAAATCCAACTTTGACTTCAGATTTCACAAGCGGAAACCAGGTGCCTTCTTGCTTCCTTTCTGTGATGGGCTCTGGGGAAAGCACTGGTCGTTCTGAGGCACAGGGACTTTCCTGGACCCCCCAGTTCCTGGTCATGCTTCTTAAGTGCTGATCCAAGTATGTGCTCATTACCTTCCAAATGTGTGCACAAGAGGGTTGTACAAAGCAGGGGTGATGCTCCAGCAAGAAGCCAGTCCCTAGGCCCAGGGACTAGCATTTTTGATAATGCACAGAGAGCAAAGAGGAGCACTGAGAACAAGCAAAAGAAGTAAGGTCATTGACAAAATGTATTTTCCTGGAAAGGAAGACATCACTTGTAGTGATGTCTAGAATTTGTAATAAAACTAACTGAGGCACTCACATCGCCTCCATAAAATGCTTAATCACCTTGTTGTTTTGTAACAGCTTCTCCCTTTATGGGAGAATTTAGCAGCTTTTAAATCTCCTTTATTTGATTAACATTGCAATCAACAACTGCATCCTGTGTTTGCAAACTTATTAAAGAAGAGAGTTTTGTTTTTTTTTTTATTAGAGTCTCATCTATAACAAACTCAAGGTTTAAGGAGCAGAACATGCTTTGAAAGTTTTTGTTTGTTTGTTTGTTTTAGGAAAGCAAAAGGACAGAATCTATAGCAGGAAAACAATATGAGTAGTGATTGTTAGTCTAAGACATACACTATTACAATCTATGTTTTCTGAATTCTTATCTCTTTTTCCTCTTACAACATGGACTTAAAAGAAAGTTGTTCTTTCATTTTTAAAAAAGTTTCATGATTAATGATGATCTTTCCCAAATTACTGCAGTTTTGAGTTGGCTCATAAGAAGTAATCAGTAATCTGTGTGAATGGAAGGTCTTTAAATTTTAGCAAAGGTCCCCAAAATGTGATCCTTATTTTGCAGGTATTTGAGCTCTGGCAGCCCCTTCACCCCCCAACCCCCCAAAATAAAAAAAATTAAAAAATTCTTGCTGGGCCTGTGTATGGGCTCAGTGTGCTTGGGATGATGAACCCGACCCCCAGCCCCAGGCCCCATCCTCATTTGATTTTCAATCTAAGTGCCATCTTAACCTCCCACGTTTTTTTACCCTACTTTTCTTTTTATCTGTTGCTGTTATCTATGGGGAGTTTCCAAGCACATCTAGAATTATGCAGGTCTGAGGGTAAAGTTATCTCCCATCTACATCAATACAAGGGGCAAATCTAGTAAGATTTTTGTTAAACTTGTCTTATTCTGAAAATAGCATGACCTACCGTCTTTTCCTTCCTTCCTTTGCGTTTACAAAACAGTAATGCGGTTATTTTTATTTTGCTTTGTTAATGTCCTTAATTCAGAAGATAAATATTGCCTCCCATATTGGTGGACCTGTGTGTTCAGAAGTATATGCCTGTTTAAGGCCAATGATCTGTGAAGTCCCAAACATTACACAGCCCTGATGTTTACATGTTTACTGTTTTAAGAGATGGCAACCTAGTGTGGAAGACAATTTTGCACAGAGAAAGGAAAGTTCTAGAGTCACACAGAGGATCTGAATCAAGTTTTGTGTGTGTGTGGCTGTCCCAAAGCGGTCAGTAAAGCTTCATTTCCTACATAATTGGGGTGGTAACATTTACGAGAGAGCGAGAGAGCGAGAGAGAGAGAGAGAGAGAGAGAGAGAGAGAGAGAGAGAGAGAGAGAGAGAGAGAGAGAGAGGGCAGACGATGAAAACGCCTAACAAAATGGGTTGATATGCAGTCAAGGAATCAAGGAATGTTTGCTCCCTGACCTTATGTGCCTTTCCCCCCAATCCCCGCCACTAAGATAATTAAATGAAAAATGCTTAGAGCAAACAATCGATATAAGAAAACGCATGATACCTTAGGCAGTAGCAAGGGTTCATAGTTAAACCATTAAGTAAAGAGGAAAAAAATATTCGTAGAGAGACTGATCTAAAGCTGAGGAGTAGGATAGGGTTAATTCAGAGAGACTCCCTCCAGGATTGAGGAGAATTTTGAAAGACAGAGCATGTTGAGAATGAAGGCATCTTGGAAGGGGACAGGCTGTTGGGAAGCATATAATATTAAGTTTGGCAGTGTCAGAGTGTGGGATATATTGGGACGTGACCCAACTGGCAAATAAAAGCTATTTCCCTAGGATACACACAGTGAGACTCCCCTTTCAACTCCGTCACTTTCTCCATTACATCAAGAAGAAAGTCTGAGTTTGTGCTAGACTATCTTTAACACTCTCTACCATTTAAGTCATTTTAACAAAGATCAGGCTGCAGGATGATAGCAAGAAGAGTCAAGAATATCTAGATGATGGGCCTCCCCTGTGGCGCAGCGGTTGAGTGCTGGGTTGCGAAGCTTCCCTCGCTGCCCGCAGCCTCTGCAACGCCGGTTCGATCCTCGGCTGCTCCCCGGCCACCGGAGGAGGGTCCCACATGGCGTGCAGACCTCCCCTGCCGCCCGCTGCTCCCCTCAGCAGTGTATTTCGTCAGTCTGCCTGCTCTGTTCCCTGCTCTGGCTCTGGTGAATTCTCTCACCCTCCCGCCCTTCTGACTGTACCCAGTGCTTGCATAAATAAATAAGTAAATAAATCTTAAAAAAAAAAAAGAATATCTAGATGATTAAAAAGTACTTAATTCTTTGTCATTATTTTTCCTATTATCTTCTATTTTTTTATTTCATTTAGGTAGTGATAAAAAGATTTTAAGTAGATTTAACTTTTTAAGGAGGGTAAACTTAAAGTATTACATTAAGGTAATATTAAAATAAGAGGGAAATGGCAAAAATCATACCAGTGGCCCTCTAGTGAGTGAAAATTAGGGAACACTGGTCTAGCCCATCTCTTTCATAAGGAATCAAAGAAGAGAACAGGGTCAGAAAAAGGTAGTTACACTTTTTCAAGATTAGGTAGGTAATTTGCATTAGGACTGAAAGTCTGTCCTCTTATACAGTCCTTATCTAACTTTGCATCAGACAACAAATTCTAGTGTTAAAAGGAAGGTAATTAGATATAAAGTTACAAACAGATTATGTGCTGTGGGTTGTCAGGTAGGGTACAAGAGGCTGGCATGTGTTAGAGAAAACAAAAGCATGTATAGAACCTCATGCTGGAGGTCTATGTTCCTCCTGGGCTGAGACAATTCCCCCGGGGGCACCAGGAAAAGCCTTGGCACCAGTCCCAAAGGTTGTAGTGACAGAGATTCCTCCTGGAACCCAGCAAAGATGGCTTGAATCCCAGCTTCTCCTCTTGGCAAGCGTCAGTTTATATCTTTCAGCTCATCTATATTCTTTAATCATCTGTAAAAATTTACAAGAATCATAATAGCTAACCTCTGCCAACCCCTTTGCTACATTATCTTGCTTAATTTTTAAAGAAACAAAAAACCTAGAAGGCAGTTATCATTATCTCCAAACAACAGATGAGGATGTTTGGGTTTTGATTAAGGTGCTAACCAGCATTTCTATAGCTAAACGGGTGCTGGGATAGGATTCAAAACCAGTTTCAGTTTCAGTCCAGCCTGGCCTTAACCATACTCCCACACTGTGAATTTCAAATGCAGATATGGGCTGTAAAGCACCTAGAACGGTGCCTGGCACACAGGAGAACGCGCCTTCCTCCTCCACCCATCTCTGCCCTTGGGGGCGTGGCTATCACGGCCATCCTGGCACCCCACAACATTTCTGCAGGGACATGACCTGGGACTACAATTCCCAGGATGCCCCAGGAAGAGAAACTGACCAATCAGGGAGTTCGGTCTCCCTTCCCCAACGGCTGGCTCCAACGGGCAGTTGGAACTTCTTGGTCGACAGTTGGTGAGTCGGTTCTGACAGGTTCAGGTTGGTAGGCAGGTCGACGTTATTTGGCTTTAAAGGATACAAATCAGTATGGGAGGGTGAAGGCCGGACATTTCCGGGCTGTGTCAGGCCCATCTTCAGCCTCCTAGCTTGTGGGCAGTGGGTTGGCCGCGAGGGCGCCTCCAGGGTTCCTCGAGGCCTTGCCTGAGTGGAGAAGGGGCAGTTGGCCCAGTGGGTCGCGCCCGCGGTGGTCATGTTCGCTTTTCACATCGTTTTGATCCACTTTGGGAGCCTGGGGGCTCTCCAAGCTTCGAGGGTGCTTCTGAATCCGTGAGGGGCCTTTGGGCGTGCCGGCTGCCCACGGGTCCCTGAAGACCCTGGGCGCCTCACAGATGTGGGGGTTGGTTGGGCCGCACAGGAGGCGCGGACCTCTAGGGATATTGGCTCCTCAGTGGGAGCGCCTGAGCCCTGGCTCCTGACCTCCTGCCGGGGGCTCCTGCCCTGATTGCCTTTGAACCTCTAGTTTAGCTGATCTTGGCCTCTGACCACCTCCATCCCATGTCTCCTCCCCCCCGGCCCCGCCTACTCCCTCCCCCTCCCTCCTCCCCCTCCCTCCTCCCCTCCCTCCCCCGCCCCTCCCCGCCCCCTCCCCCGCCTCCCTCCACCCCGCGCCCCTCCCCCCCCCCCCGCGCCTCCCTCCCCCCAGGCCCCCTCTCTCCCCCCCCCCCCCCGGCCTCGGCCCCCCCCCCCCCCCCCCCCCTCCCCCCGCGCCTCCCCCCCCCAGCGCCTCCCCCCCCCCCCCCCCCTGCCTCCCCTCCCTCCCCCCAGCGCCTCCCTCCCTTCCCCCAACCCTCCCTCCCCAAGGCCCCCCTCCCCCCCCCCCCCCAGCGCCGCCTCCCTCCCCCCCCCCCCCGCCCCTCCCTCCCCCCACGCCTCCTCCCTTCCCCGGACCCTCCCTCCCTCCCTTCCCTCCCTCCCTCCTTTCCCTCCCCCCCTGCACCTGCCTCCCCCCTCTGCCTCCCTCCCTATCTTGCTCCCCCCCCACTTCCCTCCCCTCCTGCCTCCCTCCCTCCCCCCATCTCTCTCCCCATTTCCCCCCCTCCCCCCCTCCTCCTCTCCCCTCTTCCCCCCACCCCAGCCTGGTCATTGCTTTTCACCTCCAGGGGACAAGACTCCTCCTTTCTCTGAGGACTGGCCTGACTGAGCACCTGGGAAAGACCAGACTTCTCTCTGGCCCAGTGGGGTCCTCTGAGCCTCTGGTCCCATCACCCACCCACCCTTGGGCACTGAGGGCCTGGGATAACTGGCCCCCCGAGTGGGGAGGATCAGTTTTCTCGGACATTTCTCTTTTAGTTTCTTCCTCCCTCTTAGCATTTTTTCATTTTTAAAAAATTTTATGTCCATTTCTCATGTTTTAGTCCTTTCATTCCACCACTCCCGCCCCGCCCCCCCTTTCTTTTACTTCAATTTTCCTTTCTCCTCAGTTCTGAATCTTTTGGGTTTCCCTGCCCAGTTTTAATAGATGGCATTCCCCTTTTAGTGCCTAGGGTCTTGAAGGTGAATGCAAAGTAGTTTTTTGGTTTTTGTTTTTTTTTTTTCCCATTGGATAGCAATATTTGTATTTCCGTTGCAGTGCCTCTAAAGCCAGAGAACTAGGATAACTTCTCCCAACTCAGGAAAAGGCAGAGGCCAGGAATTGACTTCATGGTGAGTTTGTTTTCATTATTTTGGACAAGAAACCTGAGCTGTACCTACCCATCTTTCACATTGCAAGGTGGTGTGTGCTAATTGTGGTTTAATTTTTCAAGTCATTTTAAAGATATTTGAATGGCTAAGGTTACTTTCTAGTGAGCCACCTCTCTGTATATTTGTATCTGACAAATTGGTCAAATATAAAAATATGTAGAATAGCATGTTGATTTATGCATTTCGGTTAACCAAAATTAAAATGAGTACGATTGTTCTAACTCCCAAATGAACAGAAGTGGCCATTTTGCCATCCTTGTCAATAAATTATAACTGAATCTTTGAGTTTTACTGTATACTTAAAGCAATCATATGGCCCTTGTTAAGAATAAGTTAGAAAAAGACACAAACTTACATAAAATTATAGAAGATTTTATATGATTGCTAAATTGTAAGGCAGTTTGTGAATGTGGAGGGATAAAGAGACTTCTGCATTTTCATTGTCTGTGCCCCATCTTGTAGATATGGTTTGATTAAAGAAGAAATTTCATCCTAAGAATATTTCAGTTGGACATGCTTTCAGTTGGAAAAAGGTTAACATGACAAGTTAATACCTTTTTAGGTTAGAATTCTAATCATTTGTAAAGACTACTATTTCACAGTTATTTTAGTTCTGAGATAATAAATTTTCCTTTTAGAAATACTTAATTTTTAACTATTTTAAAAGTGTAAGTACTTCTGACTTAGACACTTGCTTTTTTTCTTCTTTTAAAATCAGATGTTTAATAATGATGGCACTGACCATAAGCTAAATGTGGAAGCCATGATTAAAAATATTAACACAATTTCTTTGGAATTGAAGAAGATGAAAGGTAAATATGGAATCACTACATTAAACTATTTGCATGTCATTGCTATAAAAGAAGTAGTAGAGCCAATTTGTGCTGCTGCTGGAGTTAATAAAATTTTGCCCATCAATTAGGATTTCTCTATTTCTTAAGAAATGTTTACACTGTAATATAAACTAAATCTCTAAAGATGAGTTATATTTGAGTATTGACCTGGCAGACTTGAATTCCCACCCCTGACACCAACAATCTTATGATGTTGTCTAACCTCTTTAAATTTACTTCCCATCCTTCCCTTCAACAATGACATCACAACACAATGGTGTTCACCAATATGATGGTGTCACATTCTGCGAAACTCAGTGACTTTAGCCATTAATCCTTACTAAGCCCATAAACTCCTTCCAACTTGAAATTTTAAGTTTGATTCTGTTTGTTAATGGTGCTTCATTTTAAACAGATTCATATGTTGACACCTTAGAAATCATCATGTTTGATCACTCATGTCACATACTCTTATTTTATCCCAGGCATGGACAGTGTTCATGATTGAATATTTCTAGGCACCCCTAACCAAACATTTCCTAGTTGGGGACTTCCCTGTCTTACTCATCACCCTATTTCAATTTAGACAGTTCTTTCTCACAGACTAGTTAAAATCTGTTCCTCTGTTCTTTCACCCATCGGTACTATTTATTTATAAACATGAAAATTACACTGAATGTGTAGCTTTTATTATGACAACTCTTGAATATTTGAAGATAGCTTGTGTATCAATTATGAGACCTTTATAAGTAACAAAATACCAACTTGACTTATGCAACAAGGAAAATAACAAGAAGATCCAGGGGAGGGAGCCCTAAACTAAAGGTAATTCAGGATTTTAATATTTCATTGGGTAGCAGCGTCTTTCCATGTTTTGGTTATGTTCACTGTATCACTCCTCATGGTCATTATCGGCATACTTGCCTGTGCAAAGATATGCCTGTGTCTCTTTATATAAGCCTTTCCTCAGATCCCTCCAGCACATTCCCCTTTCCTTTTGTTGCCCAGATTTACACTGCATACATATGTCTGCAGCAGCCACTGCCAAGGGGAATGGGAGTGCCAAAATCGGTTTGGACCAATCAGGAGTTACTGTTGGAGCTGGGGAGAGGATCACCTCAAATGAAATCTAGTTGTGCCACCAAGAAGAAGAGGGTAGTGGCTGTTAGTTAGGCACCAAATGATTTGTGCTTGCTGTGCCTTTCCTACATGTTTTCCCTAGAGCAGCATTTCCCAGACTTTGATCTGTGAACCCTGCTCTCTCAAAGGGTACAAGTAGATGATGTGCAATAAAAAGAAATTCATGTTTTGATCAAATAAGTTTGGAAAGTGCTTTATGCTATATATTTCTCTCACAAATTCACAGTACATATTAAAGTTTCTGAGAAGTCTGATGTAAATAAATCTGGTTATTTCATCATCTCTTAAAACCAATCTCAATACTATAGCTAGGATTAGCTTTCTAAAATGTTAATCTGCTACAAACCCTCATTACCATTGTCTTCAGGATAAAGTACAAACCTCCTAGAATGAATTGTAAGAACTCTTGAGATTAGACCCTATTTTACTTCTCCAGATTCTTACCTCATTCTTTTTCCCCTGCATGTTGAATATATGTTCCAGCCTTATTGAAAACCATTTGCGGGCCTCCCCGGTGGCGCAGCGGTTGAGCGCTGGGTTGCGAAGCTGTCCGCAGACTCTGCAGTGCCGGTTCGATCCCCGGCTGCTCCCCGGCCACCGGAGGAGGGTCCCACATGGCGCGCAGACCTCTCCTGCCGCCCACTGCTCCCCTCAGCAGTGTACTTGGGTCCTTCTGCCTGTTCTGCTCCCCGCTCTGGCTCTGGTGAATTCTCTCACCCTCCCACACTTCTGACTGTACCCAGTGCTTGTATAAACAAATAAATAAATCTTAAAAAAAAAAAAAAAAGAAAAAAAAGAAAACCATTTGCTCATTGACACATTAGTTCTTTTTGCTTTTGTGCCTCAACAAATGCCTCTCCTAAAATTCCCCTGTTGTATTCCTACCGCCACCCCACCAGATCTAGTCACTACTTACTAAAAGGTTACTTCTAATGCAGAATTTTTTAAGCCAGCATATTACTCACCTTTTTATTTTATCTGTCATACTGTGTAGTAATCACTGTTTTACTTACTGTTTCTATCCCTACTTAGCTATAAGCTTCTTAAGGGTATTCCTAGCACTTAACACTATGCCTTGATATAATAGGTTCTTGGAAAATGTTTTACTAAATGAATAATTGGTTCTGGATGCTTGTATTCGTTTAAAAAAAATTAGAGAAGTTTTTAGATTCCTCCCAAATTTGATTAACAGTTTCAGTTTGCGAATTATACTTTATGAAGTAAAATAGAAATAATAAATACGGTAGACATATTTCTGAAGAGCCGTGGTATGGATCAGGCAGCTGGATACCAGGCTAGAATAGGAGGGTGAACTGGCAAAATAGAAGAGTAAATGAATAATTCTTTTATCCCAATTTCTTTCACTAGTAAAAATGTCAATAGTTAACACTTACTGCATTTACTGTAATCCATATACTAGTCCATGAATGGACTAGATTTACACAACAACCTTATGATGTAGAACTATTACCATTGACATATAGACATAACATTAACAGAGTCACTTAACTAACCACTCATTGACTTGATAAATTGATTTTAAAGAGACAAAAATCCACAAGATAAAGAACTTTCAAAAAAGAGTTAACAAAATAGAAAGCTGATGTAAGCAAACAGAAGAATGTTGAAGTCCAAAAATATGAATCATGAACTGGCTGAGTAAAGCCATAAATAGCTCCAAAGACTCAGTACCTGATGGCACCAGAATCATCTGGAAGTTAGGATGAGACTTGGGCTAAAAATATGAAGACTGATTAAATGTTTGATTAAGAAGGACATCAATCAAGAATGATATCTCCTCCCCTCTACATAGCTGGACAACTTTTTCTTTTACAGAAGATTAAGGTTTATTCTTTGAGTAAAATGAGATCTGTAACCTGAACCCACTAGCCTCAAGTCAAGAGGGAGAGTACTACACTAAAAAGAAGGGCATTAGTATGAAGTTTACATATTGATTGCAAGAGCTCCAGCTTTCTTTCCCTGTTGGCAACAAAACATTGGCAGTCAGATTTATACCCAGAAGCAGATTTTTCTTTCGAGAATCTGACCAGCCAAAGAGAAATGTCTAAAGATGCTAATTCAGCAGTTCTCCTAACAAATTACCCTGCCACGTGACCCCGCAATATAGACTACTATGGGCACAGAACTTGCAATCATAGTTTTAGCACCACGGTCTGAATCTGAGCAGACAATTATAATATGACAGGTATTTGAGGAAAGCATCTAAAATGAAAAGCAGAGACAAAAACCAGTAAATTGATTCAATGAGGAAGCAATATAAATAAAATGTGAATGAAACTCTTTAAGAATTTATCAGTTGGGCCTCCCTGGTGGCGCAAGGGGTTAAGCACAGCACTATAAAGCAATCCGCAGCCTCTGCAGCATGAGTTCGATCCCCAGCTGGCCAGAGAGAAACCCACATGGTGAAGCAGACCTCTTCTGTCTTGCCCACTACACCCCTCAGCAGTGTATTTCAGTCTGCCTGCCTGTTCGGTTCCCCATTCTGTCTCTGGTGAATCCTCTTACCCCCCTGCATCTCTGGCCTGTACTCCATCTCTTGTATGCATAAATAAATAAATCTTTAAAATAAAAAAAATAAATAAAAAGAACTTATCAGTATCCATAGGGAAGTAAGAGATGTTATAACCATGAAAAAAAAGAACAAGATAATGCAAAAAAGGAATGTGTAGTGAACAAAAGGAAGCTCTTGGAAATTAAAATTACAACACACACTGGATAGAAAGGTTTAAAGAAAAAATGTGGAAATTTTTCAGAGTGTAGAGCAAAAAAGAGATAACAGATTTTAAGGGAAAAACAGCTCAATTAAGGATGCCCAACAACCAATAAATAAGGATGCTACAAAGAACATAAACAGTGGACAGGGAGGGATTAGAGAAATCTGAGGACATTTTCCACAGCTGACAGATTGGGCTGTACAATGAAAGAGCCCAAAACAATGAAGAACAATAGACCCATACCAAAATGCAATACTGTGAAAGTTTAGAACACTGGAAGAAGAAGAAAAAAAAACCTTTAAGCTTTTTTTAAAAAAAAAAAAACACAGTTATTAAAAATTAAAATCAGATGAGCATTCTCAGTAGTATCACTGGAAGCTAGAAGAAAATGCAGCAGTGCCTTTGCAAATCTGAGGAAACATGATTTCCAATCTAAATTTCTATAATCTATTTTTTTTAGGTTTATTTATTTATTCATACAAGAACTGGAGTATAGGCCAAAGGTGCGGGGGGGTGAGAGGATTCACCAGAGACAAGAGTAGGGAGCAGAACAGGCAGATTGACTGAAGTACACTGCTGAGGGGTGCAGCAGGGGAGACAGGAGAAGTCTGTTGTGCTGTGTGAGTTCTCTCTCCCTGGCTGGGGATGGAACTGGTACTGCAGTGGCTGTGGAAAGCTGCTTAATGCTGAGACTTATCCTCTTGTGACACAAGGGAGGCCCTATATAGTCAATCTATTAAACATTGGTGTGGAGAGAGAAATTTTGATACATATCATTGTTTTCTCTTCCAAAATAAAAAAAATAAGAGATTCTGGAAAAAGAGTACCCCATCTAGGGATAGTGGTGAGGTGAGTTCCAAGAAGAAGACAGGGAGACTGTCCAGACTAGAGCAGATAAGAAGGCTCAAGACTGGGAGACGTTGAGCAATATAACAGGTACAGCATCTGGCTAACCTGAGAAGATTTACCCAAGTAGAGGAAATTTAGAATAGACTTGTGATAAACATGAAAAAAAGGAAACAATTATTGTGATTGGGTGGTATTTTGCAGGAAGGGAAATTTCATCCCATATGGCTCAGCTGTGAAGAATATAACCTTTTTTAATATTAAATACTGAGCCATCAAAAATTGTATTCAAGTATAGAGAGTGGAGTGAAAAATGTTCTATCTTAATCTTCTAAAATAAGAAACAGATAATATCTAAATTTTTTTAAATTAAATGTGTATGTCACTTAGAAATATGAAGGTGGATATCAACCTCCTGAAACAAGTGTTTTTACTCAACATATACACACGAAGCGAGGAAAATAAAATGAGCTAAAAAAAAAAAAGTGTTGCCTTTGAGAAATAGGAACTGCTCTTTTTTTTAACATTCCCTAAAAATCAGTTGATTCTCTATACGATGTGTATGTATAACAGGTAAAAATAAGTTTAAGAAAGGATAAATCAAATTTGTGTAACTCAATTGTAGTTTAGTCACATGCAGATAAAATGGTCTAATGACCCCTTTTTGAAGATCTTTCTCATGCTTATTTTGTAGTAGATAAATATGACTCTAAGCCCAAATGGGCACACCTCAATTGTGGTTTGATCTCTAATCATTGAAAAGAAAGCTATATTAAGAATTAGGAGATGGCTAAAAGTAGAATGTGTCTGTGATATGTGTGCTGCAATATAGTATCTTCTTTTTATTTTGTTTTATACAGAGCTCTCCCAGTTATTGCTTTGTGACCTTACTCTACATTTTAATCAACCCATGAAGACAGATGATTTAAAGAAAATAGAAAGAAACAACTCCCTCTCAGAAGAGCCTGAAATATCAGACATGTCCCTTGCTTCCAACATTTTTTCTGTCTGATTTCTTATTTGTTTGCTATGAATTTGACTATTTATTATTCACACATATCTGGGAGAATTGAGTTTACTAGTATACTTAATAGAATAAAAATAAAGTTAAAATATTACATTATAAATAATAATTTCATATTCTTAAAGCCTATTTTATTGTTAGAATGTTTGAAAGAATGGCTAATTTCACTAATGGCAAGAACAGGATATAGAAAATTGGCCTTGGGGCACTGCGTATCTTTTACCTCATGTTTGAATGTGGCCCAGATTGATAGAGAGTTACTAAATTAGAAGTGGATGGTATGAGTTTATATTCATCAGATCTCTCCTAGTAGCCAATGACAGAACAGCGCAAGTTCACTTGAACATTGTGTGGGCATCTCTGTCCTATTTCTGTTTCTGTGGATTGACTTTATACCCTTCTCTTATAGACTGGTTTCCTTCATATGGCAGGTAGAAAGGAGTAGGATATGGCAGCAGACACTGAAGGTATACAGGGTTACCTTGTGGAGTTACCCCCTCAAAAAAAAATCATCCATCTGTCTAACATTCCAGAGAAGGACCCTGATTGGCCCAGCTTTGGTTAAGATGTTCAGTGTTGAGCAACTGTGGTTGGGGAGATTGGGGTCATATGCTAGTTCTGTGGTAAAGGAGGAACAGCCCCACCAAAAGAATGGAGTTGCCATGGTGTGAGGAAGGGGAGAAGGAATGTTACAGTCATAAAACATAAGACGTTCACCACTACTTCAATCCTAGCAGTGAATAGCTTTTGGTTTTAGGATAACTTTATCCTACAACTTCTGTCCCTTTCCACCATAGAAGACTTAAAACAATAAGCTTTATTTGTCTTGTAAATATAACTCACTACCAAATTGCTACTTTGAAATCTACCGTGTCCTTTATTTCAGATATTTTTGAGCATAAAGGATAGGATACCACTAGCAAAACTCAAGGCCAGCTCACTCCAGAACAGAACTTATAGGGTCTGTTATCCCCTCCCAGCACCTAGATCAGTGTTTAACACACATCAGGCAGTAAATAAATGCTTGTTGAACATGCTGTTGAATAAACAGGTAAATGAATGTAGATTTTTTTTTTCACTTTCAGAACTCTCAAATTCTGGGGCCTCCCTGGTGGCGCAAGGGGTTAGGCACAGCACTATGAAGAAATCCACAGCCTCTGCAGCACGAATTCGAGCCCTAGCTGGCCAGGGAGAAATCCACATGGCCAAGCAGACCTCTCCTGTCTCACCCGCAGCTCCCCTCAGCAGTGTATTTCAGTCAGTCTGCCTGTTCTGTTCCCCACTCTGTCTCTGGTGAATCCTCTCCGCCCCCCCACCCTGCCCCCGCACCTCTGGCCTTTACCACAGCTCTTGTATACATAAATAAATAAATCTTAAATAAAAAAGAACACTCAAATTCTGAACTGTCATTTCATGTGGTTAAGTCTCCACATACTCAGTTTAACCCAGTGACTTCCAAGAACACTTCTTATGATCTATTAGCTCATAAAAAGGGAGATGCTATATAATCTTTGACACTTATATACTAAGTAAAGAAACCAAAAAATGTTGTTAATAAAAGTTATGGAATAACTAGCAAGGTCTCAACGGGAAATAACTGAACAACTGAATGTCAGATTTTTGTTTTTCTAAATGCTTATTCCCTTAAGCTAGGTTGAAAACTGTTAAGCTAGATTGAAAACTGAAGGAAAGTGAGGAAATGCTTGAAGGATTTATAAATAAAGCCTTATTAGGAAGAAGAGCATATTAGGGAGTTTTCAGAAGAATAGAAAGAAAGTTATCTAATAGAAAAGATGGATCAAAGTTTTCCATGTATGTACACTGTTCTTTCATCTTCCAGGAAGACTTTGGTAAAATCTACATTACTTGAAGATGCTTTCAGAGTTGAGTGGGGGGTGGAGGTGGGATGTGGGTGCCTGGATATGACAGCCCAGATATATTTGATTCTAAAGCCTTATCTCTAAATTTAAAATGTTTTTTGAGATTTATAGCTTAATTTTGCTTTAAAACAAATATAATATGGTAAATAACAAAGTCAATAAAGTTGTTTTAGGAGCCCAAAAGTAAAGCAAAAGGTAAATTAATTTTAATCTCAGGAAGTTATCCAAACACTCATCTTTCCATAAAAAAGTACACAAAAATCCCCCCCAGCAAACACTGCCAAATAAAAAATAATGAAATAACTGTGAAACCTCTTAAATTACTAAAAATGTGAATTTTTAGTAATTTTTAAATTACATATATAAAACTGATGATTGTTTCTGACAAAGCTTTGGCTACACAAAAATCAGTTTCATGTGGAACCAAAAACGATTATTGTTTCAATGTTTTTTAACTTGCTCCAAATTATTTCCATAATTGTTTAAATCACTGTACTTTGAAATGGGTATTCAAAACAAACATTTTTTAAAATGAATTATTACAGTGCACAACTAGATTTCAAGTGTGAACATCACTACTCATGCATTTTACAGACACTGAAGAAGAATAAATAAATTATGGGATATTGACAGACTTCATTTCAAACACTTTGCTTTTTAAATGAAAGGGCAAAAACTTGCGTTAAAATTGAGGTGTTTGATTCAGTTCTAAGTGTTTGTTCCTTCACCAGGGCTGCTTAATCTTCCCATGCTGTTAACAGAGGCAGGAGGAAGGTTGGTGCACTTGGCTGACTTGCTAGGGACAGCCCGCAGAGTACGTTAACGTGCACTGGTATCTGGAACCTCGGTTTTTCCCATCAATGAGCAGAAGTGGCATTTTCTTGAAGTAGTCAATAATATCTGAGACAGACAAAAAGTCCTGAAAGGTTCAAAATAGGGACATTAATCAACCTTGGAATGAGTGGCATGTATTTCACCCTTGCTATCTGTGTAACATATCCTACCTCTTCAGTTATAAGGGTTGTAGGAAGAAACATAAAATATGGCAAATATTTTAATGATTTCTGGTGTAGAACTTTGAAAATGTAATTCCTAACCATCATCCAATAATCCACAGATAAAAGAATATTATTAACTATATATTAGTATATACTTACATGATATAGAATATAATAATTAGAATTTTAGTATATATAAATTAATATATTCAAGTTTCATATATAAAACAGAAACTTTCAATATAATCATATATACACATAGTTGTATATAATTATGTCTTAATGTTACCCCAAACATTCTAATTTTGATTGCTCTCTTCGTCTTTTTGGTTTTGGTTTCTGTATTCCTATTTCACTCTCAATTGCTAAGAGTGTGGAGGAAGGAGGGATGAGAAGGTGGCCAGCAATCCCTGGTGTCTGAAGGGATATCTGTAGCAGACATATGAGTTTCTTCACAATCTCTCTCCTGTGCCCCCACCGCCACCTCCACACTCACAAAAGTTCTGCAGCCAAGTCTTTGCATCCATTGCTTGGATCACTTTACCCTGACTGCCAGACTAGGAAAAGTTCCACCCATCTTTCTAGACTTGGGTCAGAAGTCACCTTGATACTCCAGATAGGATTATGCTCTTCCCCTAAGACTGCTTTACTGGGTGCCTCCCTTCAGGGCAGCTGCAGTAAGTGGTTTGTTTTGGGGTGTTTTCACACGAGACCAAGAGAAACGCTGAGGGGACACATTTTTGCTGCTAAGGGACCTATGCGACTCTATCCACACTGATTCAAAGATTTGATTAAAATCATGTGTTTTATCCTTATTTACAGTATCAGAGTTGAGAAATATTGGGAGTGAAGTAGAAGCTACAGGTGAGTTGTCTTGTCTAGAAATGTTTGATTTAGTTGATTATCTTCCTGGAACTCTGATCTTAAAGAATATATTTAGGGCATTAAATTTAGCTGTTAACATCCTTGCAAAATGCAATTTTCAAAATTACCAGTTCTGATGATCACCCAAAAAGCGATCAGCATAAAGCTTGGTGGAACAGAGGAACATTTTTTGGCAATTGGACAGCCTTTAGTGGGAAAACTTCCATTTTCAGTAAAAAAAAAAAAAAAAAAGCATCCAAATAACTAAATAATCACCCCCAGAATTCTCTCTTTTTTTTTTTTGCCTTTTCAAATGTGGATTAAAAATTAGCTGATTTATAAATATGCTGAACCTTAAGTTTTGTCACGATGACGAATGATAGAAAGGACTTGCCTTTAACACCATCTAATGGGATTTTTAAAAAAGTTTTTAAATGTTGGTCTTTTTTATTTGAAAAGGTATGTAGTTGTTTCAGATTATTTGGAATAAAAAATACAAGAAGGATTCCTATAGCAGAGGTAGCTACTGTTAAATTTTTTTTTTCCTTCCAGTAAGTGAATTAGAACTACACTAACACGATTTAATTCTGAGGGTGCCATAGAGAATGGACACCAAGGTCCCATGCAGGTGGGTATGCAGAGAGAGAAAAAAAGAGAACTGGAGGGGGTGAAGGGGAATTTTTCAACTGGAGGTCCTTACCTCTTTCCCGCGGAGTCCTGTTCCCAACAGGTAAACTTGGCTTTCCTCTTGATAACGGATCTGGATGTTGTAAACTTTGTCTTTGTACAATACCATGAGGACATACGGATTTGTTATTGTTTTTTTAGAGCTGTCTCTGACCAGAAATGTGCCATCCTAAAAGGATAAATTCTTGTCATTATGGGAGCAGTAAGTCAATACTTCTGTTGCCTCTAAGAGAAGCAGAACCAGCCTCCTTGGGGATCTTGGAAACTTATCAGTTGACAAGTCAGCAGATACTCAGTTCCCCAAACAGCTACAGGTCCCACATGCCATGGATACATAGGCTGGCAGGAAAGAGGCAGCAGAGATTATATCAAAGAAATGCTTTTGGAAGTCTCTTGATGAAAAAGAAATCCCTTTGTCAAGAATAAAACAAATAAGGGGCCCTCCCTGGTAGCCTCAGGTTAAGTCTCAGCGTTATCACCTCTATGGCCTGAGTTCAATGCTAGGCCAGGGGGCTGACCCACATATGGCGCAGCAGACCTCTCCTGTCTCACCTGCTGCTCCCCTCAACAGTGCATTTCAGCAAATGCACCTGTTCTGCTCCCCACTCTGTCTCTGGTGAACCTTCTCATTCCCCATATCTCTGGCCTACACCCCAGATCTTTTATGCAAAAAAAGGAATAAAACAAATAATAGGAAGCTGAGTGGATAAGGGGACCAGACAAAATAAGGATTTCATTGGTAAACTGAAGTTATAGCTTCATACTGCTGGAAGCTAATTCCCTAACCCTTTCTTTCCATACCCCAAGTCAGAAAACTCCCAAGTATTTAATACATTCACCCACTTTCAAACTTCATGATCTTAGATGTTTCATTACCATATATACATCTGAATAAAACTGTATGTAAACTATGTTCTTATCACTCTTTTTTCTGACATTTACTAAAGAGTGTTGATATTTGGCCTGTATTTTAAAATCATTCCATCAATTATTTTCACATAATATGAAGACCGTGAAGATCTAATATTAAAATAGAATTAATTAGTATGAATACATTTTAATAACCCTCTCCTCTGTGTACTGAAGCAGAAGGTTTTAAATAATCTTTGATCTGCAATAGGGGCTTTCCTCTGTTCTTGTTATTCCAAGTTAATTGGGTAAATACCCATCAGAACACATCTGTTAAATAAATATATCCCTGTCTCTGTGATTCCCAGTTTTGGCTTCACTTTAGAATCACCTGAGGAATTTTGAAGACTTCTCCAGCACTCTAATTAAATGAGGTGAGACCCTGGAATCAGAAATTTCTATAGTTCCCCAAATGATTTAAATGTATGGCAAATATTAAGAATGAATGTTATAGACTCAAGATGTGAGACAAAGGATCTTTGCTTTACCCTCTCTGATGAATTTAAGGTTAAGGTTCAGCACTGAACCATGGGAAATCAGGTTAAGGCATTTCATGTGCAAGGACAGCCAGAAATTTCTAGGGGAAATTGCGAAGCGTTGCTGCTGTCTCTCTTGATATGGGTCCCTTGACATCAGTGTGGAAAGCAACTGTGTAATAAAAGGAAGATGGTACCAGAAGATTCTGGAAAACTGGGGAAAGAGTCTTTTGGCAGTGTCTGATTCCTCCAACAAGACAGACCCTTTTTGTTAATAAAATCTCTTAATATTCTGGCAGCCATATTAACTCTCTTAATTTTGATTTTCCCCACTGCCTTAGGTATCATTGCTATGGATGATGGTGGAGTGAAGCTGGCACTAAGGAGTCTGCTCTGCATAACAGCAAACAGCACCTAGCAGAATTCCTAGCCTGTACGTGGTACTCAATAAGTCAGTGCCTTTTTTTCTCCTACTATTAATATTTATAGCTACTTTAGCTTTAGCACAGTACCTGGTTTATCTTCCTAAGAGCAGCTTCTGCCTCTGGTCGGGTAATATAAGAAACGTACCACTCTTCATTTAATGGATTCTGAAGAGGTAAAATTTTAAAAACTGAATAAATTTTGCAGTTACATATATAAGTGAAAAGAAAATCCTCCAAAAAAATCATTTCCATAAATCACCATCTCAATTCCATGAAGTTTAAAACATCAATTTTCTTAATATGAATCCAGAATCATTCAGGTGAGGGGCTAAGTAGATAGTTTGTACAAATTTCTTTTTATCATGACACAATAGCCATGAGAAAACATTTCTCATATAAGGGCACTTCTGAAGACACAAATGTCATCAATTCTTTAGTTGAGAATAATAATACACTTCATGAAAACACTGGGTTAATGAGCAGTTAAATAACTTATTTGAGCTCATAAACTAGGAAACAGGTGAAAATACTATTATTTTTCTCACTGTTATATGCAAAACACAGTTTCCACTAGAAGAGTCTGAAAGAACACCAAGATTCTTCATCTGAATCCTCCCTTAATTTTTTCACTTAAAAAAATATTAAGGCCAATGGACGATTCAAGTACAAACAAATATGCAATGGTAGTTTCTGCTGATTCATGTGGTGGGGGGAAATAAAATCAAATACAAACATAAAGTTTATTACCTCTTCTTCCTCAGGAGATGGTGGCCGATGTTTGCCTGGAACTGGCAAGGAGAAGTTCCTGTTATCAACTCTAGGCTGCATTCTGCTGCTCGAGCCTTCAAAAGGACGGCATTTTGTAAGTTAATACTCTGTCATAAGTTAGTATTCTGTCATAACGCTTCTCCCCCCTTCGACCCCTTATCCCCAAACCCTCTTGTTGTCATTCCCAGTGGTTAACATTTCAAGAAACCCTAGCTTCAAAAACAATTTTCTCCATTCAAAACCACAAGGGCTGTTCAGGCATTATTCTGTACTCATGTCAGGGAAGTTCGGAGAACAGCAGCACAGATTTGCGTGATTTCTCAAATGTGCATGTTATATAAAATAATGTGGCTAGATCCACTTATGCAAAAGTCACAGTCATTTTAATATGACTGTTAAAAAGAATATTTAAGAGACAGATCTTTTCATAAAATTCTTCCTGATTCAGCACACTCAGAGTGGATTCTCGGCCACTGGTGTGGTGCCGATGATTAATAAAGATAAGTTCTAGTCTCCTCATTTTCACAAAAAGAAATGTGCATTACCCAAAACAAGGTGAAATTGCTTTGAGAATACAGTTAGTTTTCAGAAACAGAATTTTCTAGCTGCTGTTCTTTACGGAATTTTTCTAAAGAGGTAGCACTCTTCAAACTCACATAGAAGGCCCTACAGATTAAGCAGAGATTCAAGAAGTCTGTTGTGTACCTATAAATTACCCTGCTCTTACCTCTCACCTTCTCTAACCCTTTTTTTCTTGTTTTCAGTTCCCTGAAACTTTTGGAGAATGTGTAGCCTAATTTCAAGAAAGGTTTGATTGTTTGTGTTGATTTGTAATTGCCAAGGCTGTTTTCTATGTGCCAGAACAGCTGTTTATAAACTGACAATTTCTGTGAGCTGCATGTTCTCCTAATTATTCATGAGTCATTATTTTGTTCATTCGGCAATATTTATTCAGCCCCGCCCTGTCCAGGCCTTAAATAAGACACCTGTGCACACTTCCTTTAATCCTCACAGCAACACAACAGATGGCTGTTATCTTCACTTGGCATAGAAGGAAACAGAGGTTCAGAGTCTAAATAAATTGTGTGGTCTACCTGGCAGGGCCTCCACTTGATCCTGAAGTCCCAAATACTGCTCTATACAAAAAAAATTCCTGAGGGATTTTGAATCTTCCAGGACCCAGGAATCTGCACGTTAACAAGCACCCATGTGATCCTGTGCTAGGGTTGTTACTCATCTACAATATGGCACCAAGCATCTGCCCCACACCACTGAGTGATTAGCTACCTGGCAAGGGTTCAAGTCTCCTGAACTGTGACATCAGGAATATTTAAGATGGCCATCCCTGTTGTTTCTAAATAAGCAGACCAGGCTGGCCCTAAGCTGCTATCTTCTTTCTTAAGATTCCCAGTACCTGAAAAGGCCATCCCTGTTCCCACCCTTTGCAGTCTAATATGGCAAGCATTTGATAATGTTTGTTGAATGGATGAAATCTAACCATACAGGAAAGGGAGATAATCAGGGCTTGTATTGAATGACAATGCAGGCCATTACCATAGGTCATAGGTCATGATTCATGATGGCCATGCACATGCATTTCCTACCTAGATCCTCAAGGGAGGTCTTTGGACAATACATAACACATCCTTTGCCTTCCTGACACTGGAGCAGCCAGTGAAAAAGACTGAGGACCAGGTATCCTAGAAGTCTTAGGAGAAAAAGGATCAATTTTGATTAAAGTAGTATTCTCCAAAAGAATAAACCAGTGGTTTATATAAATAATCCCTATCATAACCCACAAAACCAGGCGTCTGTGGAATCTACTTTGGGAAATATTGCTATAAGTGAAGTTTGTGGAGCTCAGATGCCTACAGGGACTAGGCAAGAAAGATAATTTGAGTTTACAAAAAGCAGTGAAGACAAAAAGCAGTGCAGACGGGGCCGGGGGGTGGGGGTGCTGGGTGGGTGGAGATGGGTTTTGAAGTCTTGAGGTGCATATGGAAACTCTAACCCCAAAATTTTAGGAAAAAGTAGTAACTAAATGGGTTTCACTGGTGTCCGCAGTAAGGTCTCACCCACATGGGATGATGCAACTGATGCAGTAGATGTGCTCCTGAAAATGTGTTTCCTCTTTAGCTATAATTCATACTCACTAACGCAGTTTGCTTTTCCCTGTAACACACAGTGGTGTTGCTGCACGTGGACTGCAAAAAAGTGTTTTGTTTGTCCCTCACAGCTTTGAAAAATTTTTAAGCCAATCTTTATAAAACAGGGGATTTCACATTTTTTAGTGTTTTTTTTTTTTTTGGAAAATAAATCAGAATTCTGACAACATTAGGACGGGATCCTTTATTTACAGGAGTTGGATAAATTTCCACAATCAATAGACACTCTGTCATTCAACAAACTTTTTAAAAGTGCCTACCAAGTGTCAGTTACTCCCAAGGCTTTAAGGATAAAAGAAAGAAACACAATCTAGTGCTACCATGTAGGCCTTGGCTGCTGCTCAAAGTGGTCCATGAACCAGCATTATCAATAGCACATGGGAACTTGTTAGAAATGCAGAGTCTCAAGGCTCACTCCAGACCCACTGAGTTAGAATCTGCATTTTAATTCAAGTCTCAGGTGATCAGTATGCACATCTGAGAACTCTTTAAGCAGATATTTATACTGGACACCCAGAGGAGGTATTATTAAAAATGTAAGTCCTCACCATTGCTTAGAGAACCCGAATATCAGGGGTTGAGTTTTCTTGAGCTATTCTTCAAATATGCTCCTCGACTTGTAATTCTAGGGTAGATTCATTATAAGAAACTCAAAACTACAGAGAAAGACAAGCACTAGTCTGAGCACCAGATATATAAAAATGCGGGAGAAAAGTTCTGTGTAGGGAGATGAAGGCCAAAAGAGCTTCCTGAGGGGGATGTGTGTGTGTGTGTGCACGTGTGTGTGTGTGTGGTGTTTTACGTGGCATCCTATCATTTTAACAGCCCTTGGTGCACAGATGAAACTGAATTCATGCTGAATGAGGAAGTCAGATGCTTTTAGGAAAAAACAAAACCTTTGCCAAAAGGATCTGGTTGGTAACCCAGTCACGAAGACGTGTGCCTGGTGGAGGTCACAGAGCCCCAAGTACAAACCTTGAGGGAAGTATGGTGGCAGGGAGGCACTCTGTAGAAAACCACTGTTACTGTGGAGACAGAAAAAGAAGGGGTTTAAGTTGGTTGGGGGTGAAGGAACCCAATGGGGAGGCTGGGCTAGGGAAACTGAACTACAGAGGCTGCTTCATTTGTTAATAGGCTACATCCAAGACCTCCCAAGGATGCCTGGAGTCATGGATAGTACTGAACCCCAAATAAACAATTTATTTTCCATTACATACATACCTATGATAAATTTTAATTTATGATTAGTTAGTAAGAGAGTAATAACAATAATTAATAGTCAAATAGAAATTTAAGAACAATTTGTTGTCTAAAAGTTATATGTATGTGGTCTCCCTTAAACTAGCTTATTATACATCATTTTTTGAACTGTGGATTGACACCACAGATGGATGGATAAGTGGGGATACTGCACTTTCCCCCCAGTCCCCACACCCAAAACCACAGGAGCTGAGAAGAGAAGGAACTAACATATTTCACTGTGGTTCCAAGTGGAACATCCCAAAGTCTAATGAGCTTCACACATACAAACCCAAATGCGAAACAACGAAAAACAGTGTTACAGGCATTTAAAAGTTATTTTAGGGCCTCCCTGGTGGTGCAAGCAATTGAGCACCACACTGAGAAGCTGTCAGCAGCCTCGGCAGCACGGGTTCGATCCCCACTGGTCGGCGAGAATCCCACATGGCGCGGCAGACCTCTCCTGTCTCACCCGCTGCTCCCCTCAGCAGTGTATTTCGTCAGTCTGCCTGTTCTGTTCCCCGCTCTGGCTCTGGTGAATGCCCTCACCCTCCTGCGCATCTGGCCTGTAGCCCGGTTCTTGTATAAATAAATAAATATTTTTTAAAAACTTATTTTAAAAATGTCACTGTAGTTTGAGGCCTTTGCCTTTGGAGCAAGGCAGAAGCCTTCTGGGGAGAGCACTTCTCTTTCAGCTGGGAAAATATATTAATGGCAAGGTTGTTTGCAACCAGTGAAGTCCCAGGATCTAAAGGGCTATAGAGTAGGGTGGCTTGAGAAACAGAGGGCTGGCTTGATGGCACTGTGTGATAGTAACAGCTTTCCCAGAGCTGGGGTGGAGGGAGGGCCTGGGGCCTGGAATGCTGCTCTGCCCCCCACTCACCTACACCTTCTGTAAAAGTCTGCCCTGTGCAGCCCTCTCTGTGAGTGATATTTTGCAAGAATGAAGAGACCAGAAGTGGGATGAAGCAGCATGAGAAAATGGCAGACATAGTAGAAGAAAAAAAAAAAAAATCAGCTGGAAATTAGAAGCAGCAGCAGAAAATAAGAGCAAGAGGCACCCAGGGGAAATGAAAACTTTTGAGAATCCTCCTAGATGTTTGGCAGGAGCAGTAAGGTCTTGCTGGTGGTTTGAGTTTTCTCCCATGTTTATGGTGGGGACTGGGACTCTCCCTCTGAATATTAAAGGAGAAGGTGACCCCAAAGTCTGGAGGTCTTAGGGACACCAGGAGGAGGCCTGTGGACTTGCTGAGGGAGAAATGATCTTGTCTTTCTCCTGTTGGTGCCTTGCCTTCACTTGTGGGGCCTGAAAACCAGGTGGCTTCTAAGAAAGCAGACCTGCTGGGACAGAGCCCATGCAAGGAAAGTGTTTTTTTTTTTTTCCTTCATAGGTTTTATTTATTTATTTATTTTTAATTAATTTTTAAATTTTTTTTAAGATTTATTTATTCATGCATATAAGAACTGGGGCACAGGCCAGATGTGCAGGAGGATGAGAGGATTCACCAGAGACAGAGCAGGGAGCAGAACAGGCAGACTGACTGAACTACACTGCTGAGGGGAGCAGCAGGTGAGACAGGAAAGGTCTGCTGCATCATGTGGGTATCTTCCCAGCCAGCGGGGATCAAACCCACACTGCAGAGGCTGTGGACAGCTTACAGCACTGCGCTCAACCGCCTGCACCACCAGGGGAGCCCCAAGGAAATTTTTAGACTCCACCAATTGCCACCTACATTTTCTTAGTCTATGCATCCAAGATACGGGATGAACTCCTAAGTACAGGCATACCTCAGAGATGCTGTGCGTTCAGTCCAGGCCACCACGATAAAATAATATCACAATAAAACACATCACATGGTGTTGGATTTTTTGTTTTTTGGTTTTTTGGTTTTCTAGTGCATAAAAAAGCTATATTTACACTACTCTGTACTCTATTAGATATGCGAACGCATGTTGTCCCTCCCACTACAATGTACCTTAACAATGTGAAAAATACTTTATTTCTAAAACCTGCTAACCATTAGCTGAGCCTTTAGCAAATCATAATCTTTTCTGCTGGTGGACAGTCTCATAAAAAAACATATCTGTGAAGCACAATAAAGCAAAGAGCAATGGAATAAGGTGCACCTCTAAATTAATTGGGTTTCTTGAGTTTTAACTCACAAAGTGAAAACATTCCCCAATTCCTGCTAAAGGGTCCACTCTTTCTGGGGTGGTCATGGGGCAGTCATATTCTGAACCCCTCTCACACTAAACACAGACTCAGAAACAAGCAATGAGTTAACAAGCATTATGATCAGCTTGATTTGGTTTCTTAAGATCCAAAATGTTCTGGCCCTACTACCACTGATTCATTTCTCTTTTCTTCAACCCTCCCGGCACCAGCACAGCACAAGCAGAACCAGATGTTGTGTTAAGTTAGAATATGAAGACACTGCCACAAACCTGTCTGAGAACCCTCCAGGGACGTGAGGTGCCGGGAGGGAGTACTTGGAAGTTTGTTTGGTAGGTCTTGAAGAGAAAGTGTTGGAGCTCACCGAGGGCAGGGCTGGTGGGGGCAAAGGTCTTTGATGCACTGCAGGGAGGAGGGAGAAAAAATAAAGTAGATTGTCAGGATCCAATCATCACTAGAGACATTCTAAAACTGCTCTCCAGTTAAAACAGCTGGTCTAAAGATTTTTTTTTAAAGTCCAAGAACAAATGGAATTTGGAAGTGAGAGGATAGAACTCTGCTACTTTAGGATGCATTAAAAAATACTGCCATTTTATGTCATTCTCTCTATATAATACCCTTTTTTTTTTCATTTTTGAAATGCTAACTTGGCAGAAAATTGGAAACCATATGACTTTCAGAAATGATTCACAAGTTTCATTTTGTTTTGTGAAACCACATTTATGCTGTTTTATTCATCTGCAGCTAGTGATTCTTTGTCCACAGTGTTAGAGGGCATAAATATTAGAAATTTTCCTATGAAACTACACATCCAATTTTAATTTCACTGTTCTATTAAGTAATTGCACTGTCGGGCCTCCCTGGTGGCGCAGGCGGTTGAGCGCAGTGTTGTGAGGCTGTCCGCAGACTCTGCAGGCCTGGTTCAATCCCGGCTGGCCAGGAAGATACCCATATGGTGCAGCAGACCTCCCCTGCTTCGTCCGCTGCTCCCCTCAGCAGTGTATTTCAATCAGTCTGCCTGTTCTGTTCCCCGCTCTGTCTCTGGTGAATCTTCTCACCCTCCCGCACATCTGGCCTGTACCCCGGTTCTTGTATGAATAAATAAATCTTAAAAAAAAAAAAAAATTGAAAAGAAAATTTAAAAAAAGACTTAAAAAAAAGTAATTTGCACTGCCATGCATGAACTTAACACTTCTCTTGATAACCCAGTCAACTACTTCCATTTTATTAAAGTTATGCAGTTATACAAACTGATATATTTCTAGGGCCTCCCCGGTGGCGCAGCGGTTGAGCGCTGGGTTGCGAAGCTGCCCGCGGCCTCTGCGGCGCCGGTTCGATCCCCGGCTGCTCCCCGGCCACCAGAGGAGGGTCCCACATGGCGTGCAGACCTCTCCTGCCGCCCGCTGCTCCTCTCAGCAGTGTACTTCGGTCCTTCTGCCTGCTCTGCTCCCCGCTCTGGCTCTGGTGAATTCTCTCACCCTCCCGCGCTTCTGACTGTACCCAGTGCATGTATAAACAAAACAAACAAACAAACCAGCAAACAAATAAATAAAGCATGCCTCTATAAAAAAAAAAAAAAAAAAAAAAACTGATATATTTCTACTTAATTTAACAATTATAATCAGTTCTATGGGGTTTCTAAATAATTGCGCTTGTGAGAACAAAAAATATGAAGTAATGAGTTATAAATCATAAGGAAGATTTTCTGAACTTACCATCATCTTCATCCTGGTTGGAGAAAGGGGAAAAAAAATGACATTAATTTATCATCAAAACATGGTTCTTAAGAGAACAGCATTTCTCAAACATAGAAATGTCTGTCATTAGCATAATAAATATATTTTGGAAAATATTGTGGACAATTATTGTGCTAATTGGTTTATGATTTCTTGATTTACATTATCATCTAAGGACCAACCAACCAATCTGAGACTCTCCTTGTATACTTGGCATAGAATAGTTTCTGTGATGCCTAAAAGATACAAAAACAATAATATCTACTAAGCACCCCAAAAATTTCTACGTGATATTTCATCCCATTCCCCTGACAACCCTTCAAGGGTTTAATAATCTCATTTTGCAAACAGGAACACAGTGTCCAGGATGGGTCCCTAACTAGCCAGGGGCCTCAAAATGGATTCGATCCCAATCTGCTTGATCCAAAGCTTGGCTTTCTTTAGGAACCCTGTTTTGCAAAGGCCACTCCTCTTAAAAACAATTTGTTATAATTACTTATAATGTGGTTTATAAGGTGTGTCTATCTCACTCAGCATATTTATCTTCAGGGCAATCTTATGAAACAGGCAAGGAAGGGGCTATTTGCTCTACCCGTCAGATAAAAGATAATGTTTGGTGAGCCAGAAACAATTTTACCATTGGGGAGTAGACCTAAATTGCCTACTTGGATTTATCTTGTTAGGCCAACTCCGTGGTGATGAAATGCTACCTCATCTAAGTGTTGCTGTACGGATTAAGTTGTGCCTCCTATGGGTTCTGTTAGCTGTTATTTGTCCTGCCACTGAGACAAGACAAGAAGGACCACAGCCAGAAGCATTCACCCTAGCTGGGCAACAGAACTCCTCACAATGAAACTACTCGTCAACACCGCTGCATGTCTCCTCTCATTCAAGAACATAAGACTCCCAGATTCTCAGAAGAACAAGTGTCAACCCTTTCAGACACTAAAAAATTCAGAAATGTGATATCACCCTGGCTTTCAACCTCACCCCCTCCGTCCTTATGGCCTTGCAACTGAGCTGCCGTCCTTGCTGTTCCTGCTGGTCCCATGCATATCACCCCCTACCTGCCTTGCTCAGGATACCGAGACTGGGAGGCACCTGGGCTTTCTCTTAGTTCAGGTGATTGGACTCTGTGTCCTCCCCAGCATTCAATGACGATCACCAGTCACACCTCTCCGAAGACACCCTGGCTCCTCAGCCTCCCTGAACCACTTTCTTCCCTTGACCTCCACACCCATTCCTGGGGGTATTCTGTCAGCGCGTTGGAGATGGGTTTGCCAGTCTCCATCATACCTCAGCACTTCATCTGAGCAAGCCTACCATCAACACAGAGCTAAAGAAAATGCAGGCACTTGTGGCTGAGCCCTTGAAGAGATGTAGGGTTTGACAGTTTTCAGAGGATTTAGAGTGAGAGGAAATCAGACAGACCTGGATTGGCTCCTGGCTACATACTAGCTGTGCAATTTGCAAGGAGTATCCTCACCCTTCCCAGCTTAGTTTCCTCTTAGAAAAAGAAGATGATTCTTCACAGGGCCATTAAATGCAAAGCATGTTAAAACTAGGGGTGATCAACAGTCCTGGTCTTGTTCGCCTGAAAATGACTCGTTCCTAAGTCATGCAGCTCTCAGGGTTCAAACTGGGAAAGTCCCCAGCGAACAGCTGGTCAGCCAAAAGTAGTTAGCGTGGCAATATGCTCGCAGTAGACATTCAGTAAATGCTATTTCCCTTTTTTTCAGGTCATGGAGATATAAAAAAGGATATTGTTTTGAGGTTTAGACTCAAGGACATCCCTCACTTCACATGCAATCCACCCGTGCCCTTCCCCTCGCTAATGTCCACTTAATAAAGGGGCTGCACTTGAACCAATCACCCTGGGAGCTCCCAAGAGGATACAGGCTAAACAATGTGGCACAGAGGGCAGGAGGGAAAGATGGAGACCCCAACAAGCACCAGGAGTCAACAGCCTCCTGTGTTTACCCTTGCTCTGCACCGAACTGCAATGGAAGGGGAGACGGATGTAGCCCTGACCTACACAGATGTAGCCCTGACCTCCACAGAGCCAATACTGGCTCTCCCTCTGCTAAGCATTTACGAGGTGACATTTTGTACTTACATTCTCTCTTCTGTCTGGTCCCCATCCGGGCCTGAAATGAATTAGAGCAAAGAACTGAGCATGAAGAGTTCCAAAGAGCCTGCTCAGAATGTAGTGTCACTTAATTTAATAAGGAGAAATGAAACCCACCAAGGCATGGGAACAGGAAAACCAAAAACTCCAGCAGAAACAGGGAGAGGGAGAAGGAAGGTTTGGTGACTCGGTGTTCTGTTATTGTTGGGAGCTGAGCTAGACAAACCCCAATTTTGTTTAGCTACTGCAGCAAATAATGACACACACACATCTACATCCAAAAAGGCTAAGTCAGCAAACTAACTCTTTTGTAGCTATTAAATTTCACTGAGTAGATGTTTCTCCAAGCAAATGAAACCATTTTAGATAATATTCTCCTTTGCTGATGTTTTAAAACAATCATCTTGGGCTCTCACCCCTGGTGTGAAGTGAAGACAGTTGGAAAATGCTGCTGCTCTAAGACTTTTCCCAGGTGAACTGAACAAGTTAAATAGATTTAGAGACAGCTGCCTTGAAGCTGTTGCAGCAGCTGCACCCCAGGGCCCACATCATGTTCCCCTTAGTGAGAGAGAGGCCAGAGGAGGACACTGTTCAACATCTCCCATCTGTCAGATGTTTCACGACTCATCATCTCACCTCATGTTTATTTAAAATGTTGCTACTCAGGCTGCCTTGGTGGTGCAAGGGGTTAAGACACAACCTATGAAGCTGTCCCCAGCCACTGCAGCATGAGTTTGATCCCAGGCCAGGGAGCTACCCACATGGTGCAGCAGACCTCGCCTGTTTACCCACTGCTCCCCTCAGCAATGTAGTTCAGTCAATCCACCTGTTCTGCTCCTCACTCTGTCTCTGGTCAATCCTCTCACCCCCCGCACCTCTGACCTATACCCCAGTTTTTGTATGTATAAATAAATAAATCTTTTAAAAAATTAAAATAAAATTTTGCTACTCATTATGATATATTTTTCATCCATCTTGATTTTCTAAACTATCCCATGAAAATGTGAACGGGATGACTGAGTGTATTGTGGGCATACCCTAGCCCTGGCTCTGATTGAATCCCTTCACTAGACAAGCAAGGGTCTTTTGAATCCTAATTACAAAAATGAACTAAACAGAAGCCTTGACGCTGTCCTTAGTAAATAGTGCAGTTGAGTCCGATCCCAGATACATTTGTGCTATTTGGTATATAGGGCCCAAAAGACTCTATGTAAAACCAGAAATACTGGAACAGACCGCAGGATTCGGCCATTACAAATTACGGCTGAGCAGGAAAGAGGGCACAGTGACCCAATTATTTTCTCTCTGCTACCTCTGTCAAGAAAATGGTAGGTACGTTTCCTACTATGCTGACAGTAGGAACGTGACCACGAATCTGTCTCTGGAAGATAAGTTTTCTACAAATGGCAGTCATGCCCCATGAAGCAGCGCTCTGCTCATTTCTTTGCTAGAACGGCATTTTCTTAAAAGGGACCCAGGCGCTTTACATCCAATCTGGGAAGCCTGAATGATCCTTATGCCATGGTAGCCCAAGGAGCCCACTCCCACTCAAAGCACCCATGACTTCCGGTTCTGAGCAGAGCACATACTAGGTAAGCTCTGGAATCACCTGCGCTGAATGACAAGGTCAAGCAACAGAAGACAATTACCTTGGCATAGGTTGCTTCTTCCCTATTCCTGGGAGAGTGCTTCTTTCATGTCTTTCTGTGGTTGGTGGCAAAGGAGGCTTCTGTATCTTGGGTAAGTGCTCCCCAAGAGGCCTGCAGAGTGGAGAGGAGGGATGTGAGGAACAGATGCAGCTCACTGGGCTGAGCTCTGCTGCATATACCACATGCCCACCCACAGATGCCACGGGGTGCTTACCTTCCCGCAGGGGTGGAGGGCTGCAAGACAGTAGGAAAAATGTGTGAGTGTCTTTAGCACTTTCCAAAGAACAAAGACACCATACAAGACAAAACAAAAATGAAAACAAACAAAACAGGGAAACAGCTTACCTTGTCAGAAAACGGAGGTCTCTTTACTGTAAATGACAAAGAGAAGATGGGCCTTGAATTCATGATTTTATCAGTCAAGCAAGATATATCAAACATAATTTGATGAAACACTGAGCCCCTAAGGGGACTGAGTGGGTTGAAGCATTGAACTCTTGTAGAGGGCACAGTGGGGCATATACACATATGGAGGTACTGTAAACCAATGGTAAGTCAATAAAACTTTATTTGAAAAAATGGAATCAAAGACTTTAAACCTGGAAGAGTTGCTTACACAGCACTTAATTTTACGGGCTCAGAGAAATTACTGGCCCAAGGTCACACAGCATTTTGTACGTACAAATCGTACTATGGGTCCCGTCCTGCTGTTCAACATGTTATTTTGTGAAACCAGTGTTAAAAGGATTACTGTCTTCTTAGAATTTTATGCCACTTTCATTGTGAAGAGGTTCTTTGAACAGTCTATTTCCGTATCTGAAATAAACTTACCTGGCATGGAAGGGTTAATTTCCCTCTAACCCTGTGGTACACATAACATTATATATAGCATTACACTTAATGTAATTTTTTTTTTGGAAAAAAAATTAACTTTGGGGAGAGAGTTTCCGGAGATTCTTCTGGTAGACTGCAAATCATTCTGTTTATTTATTTCTTTTATTTTTCTCTTGGAACAGAGGATATTTAGGCTCCCTGAAAAATTGCTAGGTATACCTGAGAACATTGTATTGCATAGTTATTCAAAGCAATTGATACTTTATTCTGTCCTATGTCCCTTAGAGTAGACATGCCCTATGTCATCAGTGGTAATATAAGTATTACTCAACTGGATTCAACCAGGTCTAGAAGCAAATCCTGACCTTACGAAAGTTACTTGAAGTCTTTGAATCTCAATTTTCTTACCTGTAAAGTGGGAGTTATAGGTTAAAACTGCATAGGTTTGCTATCAGGTGACATCTATATACAAGCAAGGCAAGCACAACCACAGCCATGACAATCATGGGAGAGACCCTTTCTTCCCACGCCCAGGCACAGTTAACATCCTACAGTAAATGGTGCTTCCATCTGCCTGGAGTTGCACTTTCACAACATAATTTATTTTCCAAGGATTGAGTAGATGTGAGGCCCAGGTTAGTTCCTAAGAATCTTGTTTCACTCTGAAGACCTAACTGCACTAGTGAGAGGGAGTTTTGGTGGCATAAGAAATGTTTATTATTTCTAGTACTTTGACTTGGGGTGGAAAGCCTATTTTAGATTCACATCATTAGGGCTGAATTGATTTTCATTTAAAACAACTTGCTGATGTATGCATCTTCTCTGGGGATGTTGGGAGTTTCCTGTTGGGTCTGAGCACTTAAAAGGCAAATTCTCCCAAAATATCATAGACAAGGGAGAAATTCAAAGGTAGAGGTAGGTGTCTTTTAAATGGGAAAAAATTAAAATAAAGACACTTTCAAAGAGGCGATTTTGAAGGATCTGTTATCAGTATTGAACTTTGCAGATGCTTTGGTTCATGGTAGTAAACGACCAGGTATGGAGTCAAATCTCTCTGTTTTCGTTTTCCCGGAATTTGTATAGTTCTCTGTGTCAACCTTTCTAACTCAAATAGCCAACACAGCTTTTCATGAGTCAGCAGCACTGGAATGCAATTTCAGGAAATAGCAGCAGCCTCAACCCCAAGAACTGAAAGTCATTTTGCCAATAGACAAGGAGACAGAAGCCAAGAAAGGCTAAGTGCCCTGCTCAGGCCTGGGGTGAGGCTGACCTTCCAGGCTCCTTATCCCACAAGGCTCAGGGCTCCTTCCCTAGAATTCCCTAGACCCCATCAGGGGAAATCTAGCATCTCCAACCACAGCATGAAATGAGTGAGAAGAGCACCACTCATTTTGAAGTCAGAAAGACATGGGTTCAAATCCTGTAGCTAACTATGCAAATTTGGGGAAATTATCCAACCTTTCTGAGCTTCAGTTTCATTATCTGCAAAGTGAGGATAATAGCATTTCCCCTTTGTAGCATTGGTGTGAGGTTGAGGGACGATGTAGGTAAATTATCTGTGGTAGGTAAGGCACTTGCCCCATAGTAGATACTCAATAAATGGCCGCTGAAGTTTAGAATTGACTTGAAAACAGCTTTATGTAGAGGTTGCTGCACCCTAAGACTCTGGATTACACTGGGTTGGGGGGAGAAGGCTGTTGTATACTCACAGTTTGACCAACTGCACACATAGACCCAAAAGACAACCCTGACATTTGAATAGCATCTTGGAGCTTTATAAAAGCATTTTCTACTCAGAGAACTACGTTACACTTGAAGAGACAGCTCTGAAAAAGAAACATCCTGTGCTCAATGAGCTTCTAAGTAGCAGCCAATGTCTCAAACAAAAGCTCTTCCAGAACTCTGGACTCTTAGCCCTCTCCTGCTCTATACCATGAATCCTCCTGCATCACCCTCTGGGAGGATGAGGGGATGCGTGTACACAAATCACACCCATGGAGAAGCAGGCCCATATAGGACTGAGGACAGGGGTTCTGCTATCAGGCTGATCTGTATTGGGCCTCTGTCGCTATCATTTTAGTATGGATACATCTCTTTGAAAGGGGGAGGAGTACTGATGGGGGTCATTTTCTCCCACCCCAACTTATGTGCAGCCATCTGGGACTACAGGTCCCAGCATGCCATGAAACAGACTTCCTGAATGGAAGGCAGCTAGGAAGGAGCATAAAAGCAAATGGAGTTAACGAGGAGGAGAAACACAGAGGAGACACATGGAGGAGAAACATGTAGGGACACTTGGAAGAGATAATTAGAAGAGACACATGGGTAAGAGACATGTGGGGAGGCTACTCCTCGTCCTTGGCAGAGACAATGGCAGCTGTTATCTAGACCTCATGTGGATTATGTGGTATAGTTTGAATTTTGAGTCTCACCTTCTGTTCCTGCTCTCTGGGATCCGCCTATCCCTTTTCTTGTGGTTCCCTGCCAGAAGGTACCTAATACTGTGGTAAACTTTCAGGCCTTAGTGGCACCACTTTGGGTTGACCCTACTTGACTGGACAATTGACCATGAGGGGATGGGTAAAATTTGGAGTTTTACTGAAAAATATTATTTGAAATCTCTTCTCCTCTTTCTCTCCCATGTCAATTCTATTAAAAATCTTTCACATGAAAAGTCTACTTCCTTTGCTTCTGTGCATGCAGATGGTCAGACCCCTTCTAGAGCATAGAACCTTTAACAGTCTGGGGTCCCAGAGCACCCCTTGGTCACATGCGACAACTTGGTGGCTGAGTGATCTTGGGGAGTTATCTCTTTATGGCTCAGTTTCCCCCTATGTAAAATGAAGATGGTTCTAACAGTCTCTACTTCACAATATTGTGGTGACAGTTAAATGAGATGGTTCATATGAAAAGTATACAGTAAGCACTCTATAAATGTTGGTCATTATTCCTATGCATCGGGTTTAAATGATACCAACCTGGTGCGAAGGGCTCTCTGTCAAATGGAGCTAATGATCGATCCAGGGGAGGTTTCGTGCTTCTGTCTATGGAAGGAGCAGGGACTGGAATGGAAAAAGATTGAAGTCAGTTAAAAGAAGAAGGTGTTTGGTTGGGGGTGGGTTCACAGGCAAGGGAGGGCAACCCCTGTACTTACTCTTTGCTGGTTTTTGGTTTCTGCTTCTGCTAGGCTCTTCGTGGTTGGATTGGAGTGGGGGTGGTGGCTGATTAGAAAAGAACCAAAAATTAGATAGGATTTCCAATGCATTAGCAAATCCTGGCCTTTTTATCTCCCAAGGCATGTCTAACCAGATCACTTTTCTCCTTCTCCATCTTCCCCACACAGACATGCGTCTCCATTTCTCACCTGAACCTGCTCTCTGAGCTCTCAGTTCCACACTCTCTCATCCCAGTTACTTTCAACTTGCCAGTGGGGTGGGCATGTCAATCCCCTCCTAAGCATTTAGAGGCTCCTATTATTTTAGGGACAACATAAAAATTCACCATGGCCTATAAGACCCCTCCTGTCCAACACTATCTAGTACTTCTCTCTCCAGTGCTCACTGGGTAAGTGTGTCCTGGTAGTTCCTGCAAAATCTCATGTTCTCTTTGTCATCTCTGTACTTGTATTTCCCTCTGCCTGGAGTGTTCACTTTCCAGCTCTTGTCATGAGTAGCTCATTCAACTTTTCCCCCTAACAATTCCATTCAGCTCATTATCACATCCCCACTCATCTTCTTGTTACTGGGTCTTCTTTTTTCCTCACCACACATTACTACTCAAATTATTTTGTTTATACATCTGTTTACTTGTTTACTTTCTGTCTCCCCTAATCAAAATCAAAACTTTATGAAGCAGGGACCTTATTGGTCTATTTCATGCTCTATTTCCAGAAGCTAGTACACTGTTGGACACACAACAAACGCTCAGTAAATGTCTGCTGATTGAGTAAATGCTGCACCCCTGAGTGGAGACTAAGCCCTTGTAATTTCAAAAGTGAAACACTTATGTGAATTCCATTTGTCTATGGAATTTTGGGTATTGGCCAGCAGGTGGCGCAAGTCTTTTTGCAGGCACAAGAAGGAGGCTTGGAGCCCACGGACTATGGGTAGGTGCCATTTACTTAAGGGGTCCTTGTAGAGTTTATTATAAGAGTACTTTATATTGCATATGATCACAGGAAAATACCTATAAACGTTATGTCACAAATAAAAATCACTAGTATTTCATCCCCCAAAAGCCCCAGTGTGAGTACTTGGGTATACATTTTCTCAATCTACATATGATCTTTTCCTGCTAGTTAGAATCAGATAAAAACATTTAAGATCTTCCTTTCTCTCTGGCTGAGGAAGTAATTGGAGTGGAAGGAGAGCAGCATAACAGAAAGCGGTGAGGCCTACCAAGTGATTCCGGGCAGCTGTGGGAGGAGGGAGGCCTGGAATGGGTCTCTGGGGGGGCACAGGAGGCTGCTGCTGGGATTTCCCGGAGTGGGGCCGGTCTGTGGAAACACAAGGGCATTACTATGAAAGGAGAAATGTTAAACCAAGGTCAGTGAGGGCCAACATCAGGTTTCTTCAGAAAAGGGTCCTGTGCCTGGCTCTACCCAGCAAGGGGATTTGGGGATCCCTCATACTTCCAGCAGCACCTATACCAGCCCCAACCCCAGTAGAGATTTGTCCCTACTAAGTCCTCCTGGGGGCGGGAGTCCTTGGCTTCCTGCCTGCCTCAGTTTGTCTTATTCTTTTATTCAGAAGCCACACTCATGTCATCTCTCTGGAATGGATATTTATCGGAGGTTTCCCTGGTCAAGGTATGCAAAATGGCATCTTCTCAACTAGCTTATCTGGTTCCAGAAGGGAGTGAGTTCAGACAAAATTGTAAAGAATCAAATATACACAGCCCTGCATGTGTAGACACACAAATGTACACATGCACAAACAGACGCATGCACTCCTGGTTGGCTTAAGTCATGGCTGTCATGGCTCCTGGAGATCCTGTCCTGGGTCCCCTTCCTTCCTCTTGAAGAGCTCGAAGCTATCCTCCCCACTCCCACTTCCTCCTTCTGCTCATCTCCTCCCTTAAAGGGAGATCACCAGCTCCTGTCACCAAATCATATTCTTTTTTTTTTTTTAATTTTTTTTAATTTTTTTTTTTTTTAGAGATTTATTTTTATTTATTTATACAAGCACTGGGTGCAGTCAGAAGCGCGGGAGGGTGAGAGAATTCACCAGAGCCAGAGCGAGGAGCAGAGTAGGCAGAAGGACCGAAGCACACTGCTGAGGGGAGCAGCGGGCGGCAGGAGAGGTCTACGCGCCATGTGGGACCCTCCTCCGGTGGCCGGGGAGCAGCCGGGGATCGAACTGGTGCTGCAGAGGCTGCGGGCAGCTTCGCAACCCAGTACTCAACCGCTGCGCCACCGGGGAGCCCCAAATCATATTCTTTTATTTTTTTATTTTTTTTTTTTTTTTTTTTTTTTAATTTTCTAGAGGCATGTCTTATTTATTTATTTATTTATTATTTGTTTGTTTGTTTGGTTTATACATGCACTGGGTACAGTCAGAAGCATGGGAGGGTGAGAGAATTCACCAGAGCCAGAGCGGGGAGCAGAGCAGGCAGAAGGACCGAAGTACACTGCTGAGGGGAGCAGCGGGCGGCAGGAGAGGTCTGCGCGCCATGTGGGACCCTCCTCCGGTGGCCGGGGAGCAGCCGGGGATCGAACCGGCTGCAGAGGCTGCAGTCAGCTTCGCAACCCAGCGCTCAACCGCTGCTCCACTGGGGAGGCCCCCAAATCATATTCTTAACTCTACAAGGACTTGCTTTGGGCAGAAACTCACATTCTGATGAACATAGATATATCACTTGACCAGGCTCATACGTGGGCAATTTCCCACCCCTCTGACAGGGATAGGACAGGCCAAGACTGTAAGTGAGGGAATGCCTCCTTACTTCCTGTGCACTGGGTACTTCTCCCAGCCCTGGAGAAGCCTCCCTCTTCCTGAGAATGGGGTTCAAAATGTAGGCAAACATCTCTAATCTCATCCCACTGCATCCACATTGGCCATCTCCTAGTTCCTCTGACAGGCCATGCTCCGTGGAGTCTCAGGGCCTTTGCATGACCATTGCTACTATAGAGAATGCTTTTCCCTTCCCTTGTCTACCCTCACTTAGCCAATCCCTACTCATCCTTTAAGTTTCAGCTTAAATATCACATCCTCAGGGAAGCAAGCCCAGACTTGACCTACATCTCAGCCTCATCTCTAGCATTGACTTCCTGAGTGTGTTTTCTGAGATATAGATATAAATAACATCAAGGTTTAATTAAATTATTTTGTGACTCATTTGATTGATATTGCCTCCCCACTAGACAACGAATTCCTTAGGGTGAGGACAGTCTTATTCTTTCTACATCTTCATAACCAGCACAAACAAGGGGACCAACAACTTAGTTATCTATTCTTCTCTGGTCTCAGTTTCCCTCAATATGAATCAGACTTGACAATTGTACCCCTTATCATATTAGGTGCCTTAAAAAACACAACCAAAACATTGACACAGTGTTTGTGAAAGGGCTTTAGCATTGCCAAGGGTTATCCAACCCAAAGGCTTCGTGCTGCTCATTTTCTGTGACACTGACCACCTCTATAGAGCATATTCCTTGATGTCACATCTCACGGGTGCACATGAGCTTATTTTCTGTCACCATCACTACTGGTGTGTGTGCCCCTGAGGCAAGGGCTGTGGCTTCTTTGCTGACGATGTTCCAGATTTTAGAATGGTGCCTGGCTCATAGTAGGAGATTGATAATTTCACTTAAATGAATGAATGAGAAAGACATGGGTTGTCAGGGAATATGAAAATCTTAAATATTATTTACAGTTTTATAAAATCACCATCACACCCAGTCCTCTCATTGTGTTTATTCTGAGTCTGTGGGAGGTAGCATGACTGAACTATGAATTGATCAAAAGATGGAAAGCAATAGAAAAGGCCCCCTGAGGACCCGAGAAATCTATGAAATGAGTTGTTACTGCCAAAGCCTGGTAAGTAGCAGTTCAATGCTGACATCAGGCACCACAGGCACTGATTTGTGCAGGAATAATAACCTCCACGACAAACCTATGTGGCCTGTATTATTATCCTCTTTCACACGGGGAAACTGAGGCCCAGGGAGGTGGTGTCACTTGCACAAAGCCACACAGTTGGTAAAAAGCTGAACTGGATCAGCACGCCAGCTTCCCGCTACATGGGCATCGGCTTCCCGTGCATCAGCAGGGGCTTGGCTCTGGGTGACACAGGCTGCTTACCAATGTACATGGAGTTGGGGAAAGGCTTGGCAGGCAGGATGGAGTTCTGCAGTGCTTCCTCATCGTTGGAGGGTGGTGGCTCATAGTCGGCATCATCCTCCACAGGCGGCACCACCTCGTCTTCATTGGGAGACTCATAATCACCGTCACCCTCCTCCTGATCCTCGTTGGGACTTTCATAGTCATCTTCCTCCTGCAGACAAGTGTCGGGGCTGTTGTAGAGGCTCCAGGCCCTCTACAGGCTTGCACCTACTGTGTCTCCCCCAGGCGTCACAGCAGCACCCCCTTGCACAGGCAGCACAGGGAGGTCTCCTCCTGGTGTACAAATGAGGACACTGAGGCTGGAAGTGCAACTGTTCAGGGCCAGCCAGTCATTGTCTTCAGATCACTGAAGGCTTTTTCCTCTGCCAGTTTGCACAACAGAGAAAAACAGAAGGAATGAGGAATAAGGACTAGAACAGGGGCCTGGGACAGCCCACTCTGTCTTAAGCAAACTCATTTTTCACTCCAGGCATCGCCAAGAGGTAGAGAAAATGCCTGGAGCATCTGTGATCATGAGCGACTGTCAGCTCTGTTCTGAGGGGCAGAAAAGACCAGCACCTCAAGAGGCCATGCTAATAGGGAAACTAGATAAACAAACCTATTCACTAGAAGGCAGAGTAAGTTGTGTTTGGAAGGGAAAGGCCAGAGTGTGTGATAACTTTTAGGTGAGAACTTGGGGCATAGAAACAGCAGCTTATTATTATTTATGACATCTGACACTGAATTTGAAACTGCTCTCTTAGGAAAATGTTCTAAATTTTCAATAGCTGTTTGTATTTTCTGGATGCATCTCCACGGGCCTCAAAGAAAGTGAGCCCCGTGCTAAGGAATTGCCTTTGAAGCAGCCGGGGAAGGGGACAGTCACAAAGATTGCCCAAGCAGAGGCGGCACTGTCAGACCCTAGGACTCAAGTGATTTCTCCCTCTCATGCCAAAGTCAAATGGGTAAATAAAGCCACTGAGACTTTTTTTTTTCAAAACCAAGGGCAGTATGGAAAGAAGCAGTGGGAGGCTACCACTTGACAAAAGGAGGTATATTTGCATACCCTGGACATATGGACAGCTTGACTAGGTGGACTACAGAACAATGACTTGTTGGGTTCAAAGATTCCTGCAACTATTTTTGACTCGAGGGGGATTTTATTTTAATATTGGAAAGCAAAAGAAGAGTTGAGCATTTCCCTGAGCTTGTGTTCCTATAATTTAAGAGCAGGGGATGGAACCCATTATAAATGGGACTTCAGAACAATGGTCGAAGTCCCCTCTAGCCCCTGCTGATCACCACATAAAGTGGCAGGTGAACCCTAAATGCCCTCAGTCTGCTATCCAGCCCTGTTGCTTCCCCAATACCTTTACCATTAGCCTTTCTCAATGATAGACATTTCCTCTCTGCCTCTAGAACAATTCTTTTCTCCAGTGATTTGGCAGTATGTATATGTGGCGGTATGTATATGTTGCGTTCCTGATCACATCCTGCCATGCTATCCACATTGTAAAATGCTCACAGGATTGGGTTCTTTATCTCTGCCCCACCCGCTAGTGCCCCATGTAGCACAGATCATGGAACCCCAAGTTTTATGGCAGCAGTTAACGGAACCCCCCATATGTGAGAGGAGAGAAGAAGCTGGGCTCAAGCTGAGGTCCCACATGGAGGTGATTGCACATGGCAAACAGGGTGCAATGATACAGCTCTATTGAGAAGATGTGAACACTGGGGTGGGGAGGTGTCTTGTAGAAAATGAACCTGTCACCCTCTTCTGTTTTCCTGTAGAGAGCACATTCCCGTAGAGAGCACATACTTGGTGAGCAAACTTCAAATCCAGTGCCCTTTACCAGGAGCCAGGGAGGACAAGGGACGCTGTGTGTCTGCTGCTACAGCACCGGGGCAGGGGCTTGCCACCAGGACCTCAGGGCCCAGGACTGCCACGCTCTCGTGGGCTCAGCAGTTTCACCCGTAAGACAGTGACTCCCATCCATGGGGGAATTTGACTGGATGTAGTTTCATGCCCAGTGACTGTGTATGCAGTTTTCTGGGGAGAGGATGTGCAGAGCTCATCAGACTCTCAAAGTGGTCCCTGGGGCCCCTCGAATATAAAAACCACCTGGATCAGAACTGCCCTAATATCTTTTCAAGCTAAAAAGTGATTCTGAAATCCCTTACCCTCTGTTCCACCAGGGGGAACTTATGCCCACAAGAAAATCTACAGCACCCCACCCCCCATATCCGTGGGGGACACAATCTAAGACCCCCTGTGGATGCCTGGAATCACCAGTAGTACTGAACCCTATAATCGTTTTTGCCTCGACATAAAATTTAACTTATAAATTAGGCACAATAAGAGAGTAACAATAGCAACGAATAATAAGAACAATTATAACGATGTGCCGTGATAAACGGCATGTGAATGTGGTCTCTCCGTCTTCTCCCCACTCCCCTCCCCATCTCTCTAGCTCTTTATTGCACGTAGTATTTTTAAACTGCGGTTGACCTCAGGTAAGGAAACCGAGGACAAGGAGGTACCACTTACTTCAGCAGACCATCTAGGGGAGGGGGCGGGGAGGGCCCTGCAGGGGGGCGGTGATGGTGGCTAATGGTGTCATCGGCACAGTGCACCTGAGGCCATCGACCGCAGTGTTTGGAAATGGGGGCTGGCTGGCGCTCATGCCCAGTTGTTCAGCTGCTGTCTCCGCTGCCTTTGCACTGTGCTGGCAAAGTGGAGTAGAAGCGACAGGCACTGTGGATGGCAAAGTCGAAAACATTGCTCTCTGGCCATTAGGGAACACATGTGTGACCCTGGGTGGGTACACAGGCTTCGGGGCCTCGCTTGTTTTGGCGAGCCTGCTTGTTTGACAAAGGCACGGGGGACGGCTGTGGAAATGGCAGGACAGTCCACATGATATACTCACGAAGGAAGACCATCCCCCGTTGTCCTCTTCATGGCTTTCTGTGGAAGAAGCAACACCACCGTCAGTACAAAAGCAGCCACTCAAAAGTCCAAGCAGCCCACCATCTGTGTCTTCCCACATCCCTCCCACCGTCCCAGGTGTCCGTCTTCTACCTGCCCAGAGATTTATCATCTGTGTCAGCTCTGGAATTTCTTCTGGAGGAGCTCATTCTACCAGAGTGCAGGCTGGTCCTCGCCTGTGCTATGTAGGAAAGTCTCCTGGGTGTGCTTTAACACAGACAGCTACCTGGGGCCCTGTCCCTGGAGCCTCTGGTTCAGCAGGACAGGATGGGGCCCGGGAATGTGCATTTGAATACCATGTTGAAGTTAATAGTCAAAAAACTGCTTTATAGACTCAGAGGCAGGGGAGCTGGCTCAGCTCAGGTGCCGAGTGAGCCTGGTCCTTTCATGTCCCCCATGGAGCTCTGAGAGTTCCTGATAGGGTCTGTGCAGAGGGAGCCAGCTGGGCAGGGGCCATCAACTAGTGTCCTGCATAGTAGCAGCTCTCCTCCCCCTATCTGGATCCAAACTCTTTTGGGGGTTAGAATTAGCTGACATACAAGCAAATACGTGAGCTGCATGCCACCTAAGGAGACCTAGGAACCCCAGACAGAAGAGCCAAAGGAAATCTCTGTCACCTCCTAAAGCAGTCACTCTCCACCTCAAGCCCTTACCTCTATCTTCAGGAAACCGCTGCACTTGGGGTCTGCAGAGGCAAAACAGGATTGCATTAGTGGCCTTGTTGATTTAAGGGGAATTGTCCTCTTCTTCAACACAGCCCTACAAAAGGACTCCCCAGTGAGCAGGATGTTCAAAAATTCTGGAAACTACCCAAACCACACTGTTGGCAGCACTGGGAACAGAACTCATGACTTCTTGACTCTCTAGGGGAAGTTCCCCTGACATCCTAGACCCAGAGACAGGAGTCAGGGTAGGTGAAGGAACCCCCACCTTTCCTGGACCACTGGTTTCAAGACCCCTGGGATGGAATCAGTGCTGCAGATTAAACATTGAGGCAAACACAGTCCTGTGCCTCCCATCTCAGATTTGCCTTGGGTTTGAAAAACCTTTGTATCTCATTAAAGGGAGACCATGGGCCCTGGCTGCCCCACTCACTTGCGTGCAAAAATGCTCCTCCTCTCTTCATTCTTGTTGATGTCTTGACTTAACTTACTGAGAAGCCTACAAGATAAATAGATGAGTTGACAAAGTTATCATCTTCTTCCCCACTGAGCCCTAAAGTTTCTTGGTCTGTGTAACCATTTGGAGCTGCCTCCTCCCCTGGCCTCCAGCCAGTCCCCTCTGGTGGTGGTGGTGGGGGGGGGTCCCTCAGCTTCTGAGTTCCTCCTGCCTCTGCCCAGGAAGAACTTGTCCCTGCCCAGGAAGCTCTCTGTGTCTGGCTCAGACTTTAAAGTCTAGCTCTAGGTCCCTTCATGAAGACGTCAGCTCTCGGTTCCTCCACGAAGATAGCTACACTGTCTCTGAAAGCCTGCAGCCATATGCACCACTGTGGGTCTCACGATATGAGTATCTCCAGGTTGTGGTCCCTGCCTCAGGTTAACCTACTAGTAGTAACATCTGGTTTCCAGGAATCTTGAACCCTCATGAGGTCTAGAAGAATCATTATTCACTGTGTAACTCTTGACAAGGGCCCCAGTGGGCTGCTCTTTGGCCTATTCTCTCCTTCCAGTCTTCCCTTCCCGTCTCCTACTCAGTGACATTTTTTTCTTATAAAAACCTGGAAGTATTCCCAGAAAATGCATAGCAGAGTGGGGGACTCCCTGAATTGTCTATGCCCTGAGATCAACATGGGCCAGGATCCTTGGAGATAATCTTAGTCCCTGGTGCTATAATTAGCAAATCCCTAACCCCGAGAACAGGAATGGACTACACTGCCAGCACACAGGGCACTAAATGTCTATTCTGTGGGGTCTCTTGAACCTCCAAGAATGAGACTCTAGCCTCCCTTAGCATCCAGGGCTGAGGAAAAAGCAACCCTCATTAGTAAATAAGTTCTATTCCCTAGAGATTTGGAGCAGCTGGATATAGACTCAGAGATGACCTAGTCCAATGTCATTCTACAGATAAGGTCATCGAGGTCCAGACCAAGGAAAGAACTGACCCACAGAATGAGAGATGAAGGCCACCCACAACATACACACACACACACCAGAAGTCAGCCTCCTTGACAGGGCACTATCCCAGGGCAGGGCACTATCAATACATCACATTCTTGTGTTCATTCCCTTGAGGTTCAAGCTCCCTCCATGAAAGTGGAAACTAGACAGCCCGGGGCTCATCTGCAGGTAACCCAGGAGCTAAGTTCCTTCTGCTAAGTGATCCTCTAAAACTAACAAGTTTGATCTAAAACTAAATTGCTAAATTAGCAAAGGTAGTCCTTGGCATCTACTGCTTCTTGCTTCTCTAGCCACTCCCCAGACCTGCAATGCCTCTGGTTCTCTGCTCCCAGGGAACTGTGGCCTGGAAGCAACCTACCTCCTTAGAATGAGGGGATACATGTAAACATCTGGGGACTTAAAAGGACAGAGGAGGAGGCAGGGTTTCATGCCCCATCATAATGCCACTGTTGGGACTTTACACTCCACTGAGTACCCTCTGGGGAGATGCCCAGCACGGGAGGCTTGCTCTCGTCAGTAGGGGTGGGGAAATCCCTCTTACATCTCCAGGAACCTGGTGACTGGTGACATGATTTTTTTTTTTTTTTAATTTCCTTTAAGCCATTGTTTTGAGAAGCTCACTGACTTGGGGGATGGGGTGGAGGATCCTGTAGAACTGGCCTGGGAGCTCTTTTTGGTGTCCTGTAGCCTGGCCGGTCAGGCCCTGGTGGCCACAGCAGTCGCTCCCTGTCAACTAGAAACTCTGGGCACCATAGTGATATCTAAGTGTCAAAAATATAACTAACCCATTTCTCTGCCAATGTCAAGAGTTCAACCATAACTGCTGATTCCCAGTCTCAGGTAGAGATTATTTTGAACCTCTCTTTACACTACTTAATTGTCTTATTTCTTCATCTCAGTAAATGGAGATGAAATTCCACCAGTCACTCAAGGAGAATCTTGTCTTATCCTTGACCTCTCTTTGTCTCTCTCTTCACATCCAAGAAGTCATCAAATTCCTTCCAAGTTTTCTTCAAAATACACACAGAATCCAAACACCTTTCATATACTCCACCTGAATCATGCAAGTCTAACCCATAAAAAAATTGCCAGATTATGAAATAATCTACCCAGAACACCCTGTCCCCATCTACACCACGTTTGCTCAATGGCACCAACAATGTCTCTTCTATAGTCTAAGTTGGATCATAACACTTTACTGCTTAGAAACCTTCCCTGGCTTCTCTCGACACCCATCAGTGACCCATTTACTGAAAATACATATGGAGGGTCTTCTGAGGACCAGAAACTCTGCTGGGCACTTGAGGAGCTTCAGTGAACAAAGGGGATGGATCCCTGCTCTCGAGGTGCTGACATGCTGGTGAAGAGACAAACCATAAACAACGGGCATTTAAGGAAGTTAAATTCTAGGTAAGTGCTGTGAGGTACACAAGCAATGGGGGTGGGGTGGGAGAGGGTGTGTGTGCTGGGGAAGGAGGGGGCTGGAGTGCTTAGGTGCAGTGCAGTTGCAATTTAAAATGAGCAGGCCTCAGTGAGAAAATGACATTTTAGCAATGACCTGAAGAAGGTGGGGCTGAGCGTCCCTCCACACCCCCAAGCCCACAGAGTGTGGCTGGGACCTGACTGGCTCACAAAGAGTCTTTGATCCTAAAAAGACCTCCCACTCTGTGTTGGCGTAGGTGTCTTTTTCTACCCGTATCTTTAGGGGCCAGGCTGGAGGCTGCTGGGGCGCTCGGTGGCTAAGGAAGGAAATGCCAAACCACAGGCCTGACAGAGGAACAGGGGGAGCAGCAAAGAGCTGAGAAAGAGCAGAGCTGGGCCTAGCCTTTGGCTTGCAGCCAAGCTTGGGCTCACAGGGTCTTTCTGAGAGGGAAGAGCTCAGAGAACACCTTCTAAGCCAGCTGGGGTCATTTCTGGGAGCTCAGTGGATGGGGAGGCAGTGCTGGTGGACAGGGCAGATTGCTACCTCTGTGTGCAAACCTCCAAAGTTGTCCCCTCTCCCAGGCCTCGGAGGACCAAGTGACACTGAGTGGCCAGAGGTGACTCATTCCCCCATCTCCCCACAAACCCCAGCTTTCAACTTGCACCAGGGAGAGAGATAGAGGGGGTTGGGCAGCTGTAGAATTAGTTCTCTGCTTTGCCACATTTTAGGGATAACTGTCCCTGGAAGTGGGGCTGACCCTCAACAGGAAGTGAGGCCATTGCAGCATGGTGGACTCTGTGGTGACCTGGTTTGTTGCAGCTGTAGTTGCTGCACGACATGGGGCCAGTCTTTGCCTTCTCAGTCAGACGTCTCTCCTGCAGTGTTAAAGACTTGTTCCACGTCTGATTGTGACATCCAGCCCAATGGTGGTGCCACAGAGTGATCTTGAGCAAGACATTTGCTTTTCTCACCAGCACCAAAAGGGGGTTGGCAATGGTTTGTGGGCCCCTACCCAGCCTGGCCATCAAGATTACATGGGTACCCCTTTTCCAAACATGGATTACTAGGCCCACTGTGCGCTTTACCCATCATACCCTCTAGGGGAGATGTTGCAGGGCAATAACACCAGCCAGGCCCTGGGGGATTCCTATGGTCTCTAAGTGTGTGAAATCAATCCCGACAGTCTTAGTTTTCTTGAAATTAGTTGTTTTATGTTTGGTTGTGTTTGCTTTTTTTTTTTTTTTTTCTTTGCTGAGGTTATTTGGTTTACAGTCTTATTTGTGTTTTGGGACTATAGCTCCCCCTTCAGGTGCTGTTACACAGTGCAGCCACAACAAAAGCACCCATAACCCACTACCACAGTGCACTGCGCTTCCTCCCCTCTGGATTCCTCAGTTCTATAGTCAAATTTCAAGGGTTGGCTTTTAAGGGTTCTTTGTTTTTTACCGAGGAGGAAGAGGAAGAGGGAGATAGAAGAGGGGAGGAGTTAGGAAGGGGATGGAGGGAGATGAGGAGCTGGTGGGGGAGAAGGAGCAGAACCTTTATAATTGTGAAGGGAGTGAGGTGGGACGTGGCAGTATGGGGTGGGGGGTTCGGTCTCTTTGTGTTCCCTAGGAGTCCCCCAGGAGACCCAGGGTTGCTTTTCCAAAGTCCCTTTGCTTTACCAATGGCAGATGGAAGTGCCCCCATGGGTCTTAAATGCAACTTGGCTCGTGACGCAGAAGGAAGAGAGAAACTATAAAAGAAGGGCAGGAAAGGAGGCAGAGAAGAAGGGAACAGAGTGGGAAATGTCAGCATCTGAAGCCTGCAGCAAGAATAAGGTAGTGTCTCCTGACAGTGCTATTTCTGTTGCCCGTATTGCCACTTGTGTACCACTTACAAGGTAGAATGTGGGGGTCCTGCCAAGGCGGACATAATGAGAGCCTCCTTCTCTCCCTGGTATTATCGGCGCTGCTAAGGGGAGGCTTATGCCCTTGACTCCAATTTCAGGTGCTCCTTCCTGGAACAACGATCCAGGCTGAGGACCAGTTGAGCTCTTCACAGTCCTTCCTCCAGCTCTCTGCCTGGCTGGACACCTCTGTGTCCTCAGACATCACCTGCATCGTCCTCGCACCCAGCCTCCTTCTCCCTCTGTGTTCCATTCCCCTTTAGAGCAGTTCCACCTACTAAAGCCGCTTCCTTGAGTCAAGAGCCAAACCTCTCAAATTTTCCTTGTCATGGGAGAAGCCAAGAGGTGCATCTTGGGGCTCAGGAAGGAAACTTTTGGGGTTATCTAAGTGGGAAACAAGGGACATAGCATAGTCACTCTATTTCTCAGCCATGTCCCCTACCCCTGCAATTTTACAGGGCTTATTTTACTGGCGCTTCACAGTCATTTTGTATGGTAGAATTATTCTCATTTTTACCAACAAGGAAAGCTAGGACATAGAGAGACATTTGTCTAAAGCATATGGCAGTTTTCATGCCAGGAAGTCAGGATGTACAGGCTTGCACGGAGGGGGTGGGGACAAGGCATGGCAGTGGTCAGAGGAGGCACTTGGCACATGGGAGGAACTAGGAACCTGGGCAGGGACTGGCCAGGGGGTGGGAGGGATGGAGCAGGATGGAGGCAGACCTGCTGA